GGTTCTTCCGGGCTGAACCGAATGGTATAATAATAACAGAGTGAATTTGATTGAGACCCAAAACATGGATGGATTCACACCTTTAAAACATTTTAATGGATTAAAATAGTATTTGCAATAAAAGAATAAAATACTGAAAAGACTTTGTCATGTAAAACTGTATAATAAAGAAGGCAAATAAACCTCAGCTATCAAATGGTAAATTTGGATAATTTGCTAACGATGTAACTTGGGTTGGCTCAATGGGTTGGTACTTGTAAAGCCTTATCAATAGCTGGAGATCATAGGAATAATAAGCTTTGCTAACAAAATGACAATATTCAAACAATAATTACCACAATTCTTGATGAATAATGTCCCAGGCTCACCATGAGTACAGCCAGAGCATTTCTGCTAAAATTAAATGCACTGAACAATGTTTCAAATTATTTAGAAAGTACAATAGAATCATTTAGTCCAGGTTTGACTAGATTCGTTTTTCAACTACAGTCCCAAATTGGAAGCTTCAGTCAGAAACCAACTCCGGCTGGGTGACGTGTTTGGGTGCGTCAGGGGCGCCGCCAGCAATCATGATGAATACTGCAACTGCTCCTCCCCACACAGCTGGGCATACTATATGAAAATAGGTTGCTTAAATGTTTTGTATTGGTTTTAGCTTGCTGAAAGGTCTCTACCCACCAGCAACAGTCACAGGCAACATGCAAAATATAGATGAGATGGGGTTAGGATATATGGGTATATGAATATGCAGCAGGGCCGGAGCTTCAGGGGGGTCAGGACAGGTCACGCAATCATTTGGATCAGCTGTTCTCATCTAAAACTTGCAGAGCAGGACTGAGGACTGGAGCTCTGCTGTTGAGGGTTCATTCTGTCGGCCAACAATGAAATATGGCTGTTCTCCTCCATCATGTGTTTTATGTCCCTTTCGGTGTGTTGTTTTTATTTTTTAAAACTTTGCCTTTTATTTTTTATACTTGCTGTAACATCAGTTGCCCATTTGGGACACGAATAATTCTGAATCTGTATCTAGCTTCTCAGGCTAGCAGCTGATAGCTGCCAGAGCATGCTACTGTTAAGAATTAAAAAGAGGAATAACTTGATTTAGCTAGTTAATTTATTCCTCTGTCCTAGGTTCTTGTGTCTGTGTACGTGTGGAGGGAGAAAAACCAATCATACGACAGCTGACTTCAGATATTTCCAGAGTTTTATCCAAAGAATTCAATGCAATACAGAATGTTACAACAGCATTACATCTGAATTATCAAGAAGTCCAACACATGACAAACATAGAATTACCTGCATGAGTTGAAAGGAAACAGAAATAAACAAAATGCATTTTGGAAATCTCTCACTCAGCACAAAGAGATTCGAACTTCTGCTGCAAAACAAACCATTTTATAAGAATGTGCATTCTCCTCATTTAAATATATGCATTAGGAGGTGTGTTTTTCCTTTGTGTGGGCTGTCTTAAATGTTAATTTTATTACCTCTGAGACCCACTGAAACACCCAGCTCTTCTCCTACCAGCCTTCTTAGACGATCTGATTTATGGCGTGCAGCTGGAACGTTATCTCTGCCTCAAAATGCTTCAACAAGTAACCAGTTGGTGTTTTTAACCAAGCTTGCACAAAATGTAATGCTAAATAATGACTATAAGTTTGGATCTAAGAAGTAACTAGTTCAAAACATGCTTAAAGAAATATATTTAATTCTAATATAGATAAAATTATTTATAAAAGTTTTAAGATCCTAGTGAACTTTTGAACCATGCTCAGGAATTTGTTAATTGCCTGGCAGACAGACTCCCTGTCTAAAGAGATTCTAGGCCTGTCTTTTCTGTAGAATCCTCCCTAAGAATTTATAAGTTCAGACAGTCAGCAGTTGTTTTAGTTTGGATTTGTATCTAAGTTTATCTTAACCTAAAAGTTAACTTATGTACTATTGTGCTACTTTAAAATTCTATTTCAACACTACTCATGCTGCCAAATTTAATAAACAAACAATCATAACACTGTAAAGTACAGAAACTTTTATCATAACTAAATCAACAACTTAATTAGCAAAACTAGTATGAACAAGATTTAAAGTTCAGCGCTACTAAGCTAACGGTTCCACTTTCTCTTCTGTTGTAGAATACTGGCATCTGGTGGCCAAAACAGGTATCACACTGCAGCAGGGCCATGACAGCAGTCAGCTGTTTCAATAACAAACATACAAGTTTATTCATCTAGAACCTCAGCTGCCCGAAATCCTTCACAATAATCACACAGAGAAATGATGAAGAAAAACTGAAGTTTGATTAAAAAAAAAGAAAACTGGCAGAAAATATCAGAAACTAATAATATGGATAAAATATGGAGAAAAACCAAGACATGCTTAATTTTTGTAATTCACAAAAAAAGAAGAAGAAGAAGCTTGAATGAGTACCAATATCCCCCTCTACCTTCAATCAGGTCAGAAATGGTTTTAGAAGTTTGACTTCTGGTTTGACTTCCTCACCTGCAGGCGAGGAAATCAAACTATTCCAGTTCACCTGCAGACTGGGAGCTGTGGGAGAACAGGGTTCCCTGCTCAGGCCTGAAAACAAAAGTTGAAAAGGTGAAGAAAAGCTCTAGATCTATAACTCTAGATCTATAACTCTGAGACTTTGAACTCAGTGAGGATGACATCATCACGTTAGTAAGTGAGGTCATCATCCCCCAGCAGCACTCTGTGTGTGTTTAACGTCTGAGGAAGAATAACGGTCCAGTCTGCGTTCAATTCATTGTTGCCTAAAGTTTTATTTAACGCAACCTGGAGGATTTCATAGGGCCTGTTGCAATGGGAACAAACTCTGGATCAGACACATCGTTGCTGTGTCACGATGAGAGGCGACCAGGAACCGGGCCAGGAACCGGGCCAGGAACCGGGCCAGGAACCGGGCCGGAGGAGGAACCGGGCCAGGAACCAGGCCAGGAACCCGACCGGAGGAGAACTGAGAAAAGGTGAGTCTTCAGACAGGGGACTAATGAAGGGAAAGATGGTGGAACCTGTGGCGGCTGGCGGTCTGAGCTTTGGGGTCAGGGGTCAGGGGTTCCTGGGTTTCCCAGTAGCTGCTGCAGTTTCCAGGTGGAGCAGTCCAGCAGCAGACTGGGGGTGGAGAAGCAGCAGCTGGGTGGTGCTCATGGGGGTATCCAGGGAAGGCCTAGTGGAGCAGCAAGGATCAGGTCAATGAGCAACAGAGAAAGGCCAGAGCTGGATCTACGAGGAAGGAATAGATGGGAGGAGTCAGAACAAGTTAAAGTCTGTAAAAGCAACACTGAGAGCGAGACTGGACCGCTGTGAAGCAGAACCTTCTGGCCTCAGGGAAGCCGCTCCTACTGGAGCTCCTTGCTGGTTGGTGACGATGAGCCCCATCTGGATCATCCCAGCTAGATCCAGGATTTCATTTACGGTTTTTCTCATTTATTAGTCAATTATTTTCCTTCATGTGTTTTATCTTGATGAATTTGTGTCTCAGTTCTTTTTAAGCTCAACTTTTCAGTAAAGCACTGATTGGTCTTGTGAAATAAATTCACGTTGCTTCAGGTCTCTTACATCCATGTCTGCCTTGAGCCAATTCATCCAGTTTTAAAACACTTTTAGCATTTTTGCAATAAGTTCAGGATGTTTTGGACCATTCAGTGTCTCTGGCTGGAAAATCCGTGTGAGGAACTTTGTTTGCAAATCTGATCATGTTCTGCAGTTCTGACCTGCGGCTCCTTCAGGGAGAAGAACCAACATGTTTTTTTTCCCATCATCCATTTCATCAGCGTTTCTGAAGAAATGTTTCGCAACGTTTTCCACACATTGACGTCAAAGCCGATCATTTCTGTTCTGTTCTAAAACTGCTGTGGGCGTTTTTGGTGGCCAAATGTACTTAATCCAATGTCTGTTTAAAACACCTGACACTTAACATTTCAAATGTGTGAAGCTCACTAATTTGATTAAATTGCTTCCCAGATGTAGAAAATTGATTTTAAATCATTTCTTAATTTTTATCTGTTTGGTGTATTTTGTCATGCAGGACAGTGTTTGAAGTTCCAAAAACTGAATAAATGTTTTGTAACTTTGTACAATCACTGTGATCAGTTCTTACGCATAATGCACTTAAATAAATGTTTAACTGAGTAAAATTATTGTTGAAATTGTATATTAAAAAGTCTGAAGTTATTCATTATATGTTTTTGTAAAAGTGAAATTTGTTTAATATAAAAAAACGAGTCCACTTTCATTAGTTCTATTTAGTCTTGCAATGAGTTAATTTATGCGGCTCCTAAACCAAAATGAGTTTGACACCCTGTTGTAAAGCCTTATCAAGTCCAGAGGACTTCAGTCATTCACACAGTTAAAAATAGCTGGAGATCATAGGAATCTGTGGCTGGTCCGATCCGGTCCGATCCGGTCCGGTCCGATCCGGTCTGGTCCGGATCAGACGACTATCGACCCAAAACATGAGAAAAACTCAAGCCGGCTCTGATTCCTGCAGCAGAACCAACGGTCCAGAACGCTGCTGGAGTTCTGACGAGAACCAGGAGGATAGAAACACCACCTGGTTCTACATCACCTGGTTCTACATCACCTGGTTCTACATCACCTGGTTCTAAACCTGGTTCTAAACCACCTGGTTCTAAACCACCTGGTTCTACATCACCTGGTTCTACACCACCTGGTTCTACATCACCTGGTTCTACATCACCTGGTTCTACATCACCTGGTTCTACACCACCTGGTTCTAAACCACCTGGTTCTAAACCACCTGGTTCTACATCACCTGGTTCTACACCACCTGGTTCTACATCACCACCTGCAGAGGTCACCACCTGCAGAGGTCACGACCCTGAGAGGTCATGTTCCTCCTTGGTTTATTTTCCAGCCAGCTCTCATGGATCTGTGGTTCTGGTTCAGTGAGTCGAGTCTCCGCTGCTGATTCCCTGCCGGCGTTCTGCAGCCGGTTTTTCCGGCTCGGTGGCAGCAGGTGACATCGGCTTCATGGGAGGAAACTTCCGATTCGCTGCGATAAAAAGAGAAGACGCTTCGCCTCCAGAGAGCAGCGCTACGAAGACGCAGGCCGACCGGTTCCCTTCCAGAGCAACGATGAGCAACGGACCTGAGAGTAAGTCCAACCCAGCTGCTGTTCACCTGGACCTTCAAATTCAATTTTAACATCAACTTTTCATATTTTAAGCCAATTTTCATAATTTGCTGGGACTTACTGTACTTAATTTTATGTTTATCAATTTCTCTTTATGATTCAATCTGATTAAATTTGCCAGTTCTTATAGCTTTGATGTTTTTTTTTTACAAATATAGTTAAAATATGAACCTTTAAAACAGTTTTCCTTCTTCATCTGACATGAACCCCAGGCAGTTCAGGAGATTTGAGTTCAGTTTTTAACAGAATAAATCATTGAAAGTTTCCAGATTTAATACAGACTAGAGTTTTCTCATGTTAGCATTTTGTATGTTAGCATTCCTGCTAAGTTCAAAGTTCAAACTGAACAGAAACTCAATGCTGAAATGACTCCAGTGATGTGTTGCTCTTTATGAAATCAGTTCCATGTTAGTTGTTTGAATCCTGATGTTGTGGTTTTACAGTGAACTGAGCCTGAATGTTTTTGTCCATCAGGCTCAGAGGAATCCCAGATCAAGGTTCTGGTTCTGGGAAGAGATGAATCTGGGAAAGAGTCTGTTGTAAATGCCATGAGGGGACAGTTCAACCCAGAGGAGTCATCCGAAAACCCTAAGCTGACAAGAGGAACCGTCTGTTTGGAGGACAGATCCATTAAGGTGTCGGTTCTGAATGCTTCTTGTGTGTGTTGCAAGGAGTCCAAGGAAGACATCCAAGAATCCATCAAAAAGATCAAGAAAGACATCAGGAACATCAGTCCTGGCCCTCATGTGATCATCTGGGTTTCAAAGGAACGAAACGAAGAAAAGGACAAGCTGCTGTCAGCTTTTCATAAGGCTTTTCATGACAAGAAGCGCGTCCTGTTTGTGCCCATTGGAGATGAAATCCCAGAAAAAGATGAGAAGACCCTCACCTTCACAGAATCTGAGGAATGGGGGAAAACTCTGCTGGAAAGAGTCGTTAAGATAAATAACGATAACAACAGCAAGCCGTGCGAGATGAATTTGCTTGAGAAAAAGTTGGATAAATTCTCCAAACAGCTGGTAAACAATTTTGAGAAATCCGAGCGTACTGAGACTGTGCATACATGTCTGGATGCACTGAAGGACTGGTCCTGTAAAAAATTCTTCAAATAGTAAAGTGATGCAGAAGCTCAGCTTTGCAAAGCTTCTTCAGTTCCCGTTTGTCCTGCTGTAGCTGGCAGGTTGTCGGTTCAATCCCCAGTGTGCTCCTTTGTTTTAGGGTGGTGGTGGTGCAGTTTTAGTTTTAACTGTTTATTCTGCTGCAGCTGAAATAATCATTTATTTCTGCTGCATGTTTCCTCTGTATGAGCATCAATAAAACTGTCTGCTCTCCTCTGATCTGCTTTGCTTTGTTATCTGAACCTCAGCAGCAGCTGATGCATCTGGTGGCTCGCAGTGATGAGGTCATCACTGTGACATCATCAGCAGGGCCGTGTCTAACCTCTGCAGGGGCTCCTTTTTAAAATCATCCAGGTTCAGATGAACATGTCGGGCTAAATTGTCATGATGCAGTTTGTTGAAATGTGAACCCAAGTACAGAGAAATGGCAGCAGCTGAGTTTGATGATTTAATCAATAAGTATTGAAAACTTACAACAAGAAAACCCAGAAGCTCCAGGGTAGCAGCAAGACATGAAGGATCCATGCAGCGAGGTCGCAGCGTGGACTGAGGCTGACATCCAGGGAGGAGAGAGCAGGCGGCGGGCTGAGGGGCGGCAGGAACACAGGGACATACAGGAGCTAACACCACGCTAACAATGAGCTAACGCCACGCTAACACCACGCTAACAGAGAGTAAACGCCACGCTAACACAGAGCTAACGTCACGCTAACACCACGCTAACACAGAGCTAACGCCACGCTAACACCACGCTAACAGAGAGTAAACGCCACGCTAACACAGAGCTAACGTCACGCTAACACCAAGCTAACACCATGCTAACACAGAGCTAATGTCACACTAACACCAAGCTAACACCACGCTAACAGAGAGTAAACGCCACGCTAACACCAAGCTAACACCACGCTAACAGAGAGTAAACGCCACGCTAACACAGAGCTAACGTCACGCTAACACCAAGCTAACACCAAGCTAACACAGAGCTAACGCCACGCTAACACCACACTAACAGAGAGTAAACGCCACACTAACACAGAGCTAACGTCACGCTAACACCAAGCTAACACCACGCTAACAGAGAGTAAACGCCACGCTAACACCAAGCTAACACCACGCTAACAGAGAGTAAATGCCACGCTAACACAGAGCTAACGTCACGCTAACACCACGCTAACAGAGAGTAAAAGCCATGCTAATACAGAGCTAACGCCACGCTAACACCACGCTAACAGAGAGTAAACGCCACACTAACACAGAGCTAACATCACGCTAACACCAAGCTAAGACCACGCTAACAGAGAGTAAACGCCACGCTAACACCAAGCTAACACCACGCTAACAGAGAGTAAATGCCACGCTAACACAGAGCTAACGTCACGCTAACAGAGAGTAAAAGCCATGCTAATACAGAGCTAACGTCACGCTAACACCAAGCTAACACCACGCTAACAAAGAGCACAGAGCAGACCGACGTGAACGCTCTGCACTCTGGATCCTTCATCATGGTGTAAAGCTTTGCATCCAGACCTGCTTCATTATTGATTGTCTCATCATCTCTCTTATTGAGCACAATTCATGAATAAACCTGATTGAGTCATTTTACCTGAACAGTGCTTGGAAAGAGATTTTTGAAACAAAAACAGGGATCCAAATGAAAAGAATAAAAGAACCATGTGTAAAGAAACAAGGCTGTTGTACGAGTTTTCCAGCTAATAGTGAAGAACCGACTATTTATCTGGAAAATAGAAGTAAACAGCTGGTTCTCCCTGAAAAACTCAAACCACGAGCGTTAAAGCGCTTGCATGACGACATGAACTATGTCGGTCCTGACAAGGTCAACATGAAACAAGGCATTGAGGATTATGTGACCAAGAAATGTAGATGCATTAAACAAAAACATCCCACTCTCCCACAGACAACTCCAATGGGATCCAGCACAACTACTGCGCCATTTGAGTTGCTCTCAATTGCAGTGTTGAAATCTCGGAGTCAAGTAAAAGTAAAGGAACCTCTCCAAAATGTGACTTTGGTAAAAGTCCAAGTTACTGAAATGTTACTTGAGTTAAAGTCTTAAAGTATCTGTTGAACAGAGCCCTGCTTTTAAAGCCACAGGCTCCGCCCACAGAAAGCCACAGGCTCCACCCACAGAAAGCCACAGGCTCCACCCACAGAAAGCCACAGGCTCCACCCACAGAAAGCCACAGGCTCCACCCACAGAAAGTCACAGGCTCCGCCCACAGAAAGTCACAGGCTCCACCCACAGAAAGTCACAGGCTCCACCCACAGAAAGTCACAGGCTCCACCCACAAAAAGTTACAGGCTCCGCCCACAGAAAGTCAGAGGCTCCACCCACAGAAAGTCACAGGCTCCACCCACAAAAAGTTACAGGCTCCGCCCACAGAAAGTCACAGGCTCCTCCCACAGAAAGTCACAGGCTCCACCCACAGAAAGTCACAGGCTCCACCCACAGAAAGTCACAGGCTGCAACCACAGAAAGTCACAGGCTCCACCCACAGAAAGTCACAGGCGCCACCCACAGAAAGTCACAGGCTCCACCCACAGAAAGTCACAGGCTCCACCCACAGAAAGTCACAGGCTCCGCCCACAGAAAGTCACAGGCTCCACCCACAGAAAGTCACAGGCTCCGCCCACAGAAAGTCACAGGCTCCACCCACAAAAAGTCACAGGCTCCAACCACAGAAAGTCACAGGCTCCGCCCACAGAAAGTCACAGGCTCCGCCCACAGAAAGTCACAGGCTCCACCCACAGAAAGCCACAGGCTCCACCCACAGAAAGCCACAGGCTCCACCCACAGAAAGCCACAAGCTCCACCCACAGAAAGCCACAGGCTCCACCCACAGAAAGCCACAGGCTCCACCCACAGAAAGCCACAGGCTCCACCCACAGAAAGCCACAGGCTCCACCCACAGAAAGCCACAGGCTCCACCCACAGAAAGCCACAAGCTCCACCTACAGAAAGCCACAGGCTCCACCCACAGAAAGCCACAGGCTCCACCCACAGAAAGCCACAGGCTCCACCCACAGAAAGCCACAAGCTCCACCCACAGAAAGCCACAGGCTCCACCCACAGAAAGCCACAGGCTCCACCCACAGAAAGCCACAGGCTCCACCCACAGAAAGCCACAGGCTCCACCCACAGAAAGCCACAGGCTCCACCCACAGAAAGCCACAGGCTCCACCCACAGAAAGCCACAGACTCCTCCCACAGAAAGTCACAGGCGCCACCCACAGAAAGTCACAGGCTCCACCCACAGAAAGTCACAGGCTGCAACCACAGAAAGTCACAGGCTCCACCCACAGAAAGTCACAGGCTCCACCCACAGAAAGTCACAGGCTCCACCCACAGAAAGTCACAGGCTGCAACCACAGAAAGTCACAGGCTCCACCCACAGAAAGTCACAGGCTCCACCCACAGAAAGTCACAGGCTCCACCCACAGAAAGTCACAGGCTCCACCCACAGAAAGTCACAGGCTCCGCCCACAGAAAGTCACAGGCTCCACCCACAGAAAGTCACAGGCTCCGCCCACACAAAGTCACAGGCTCCACCCACAAAAAGTCACAGGCTCCAACCACAGAAAGTCACAGGCTCCGCCCACAGAAAGTCACAGGCTCCGCCCACAGAAAGTCACAGGCTCCACCCACAAAAAGCCACAGGCTCCACCCACAGAAAGCCACAGGCTCCACCCACAGAAAGCCACAAGCTCCACCCACAGAAAGCCACAGGCTCCACCCACAGAAAGCCACAGGCTCCACCCACAGAAAGCCACAGGCTCCACCCACAGAAAGCCACAGGCTCCACCCACAGAAAGCCACAAGCTCCACCTACAGAAAGCCACAGGCTCCACCCACAGAAAGCCACAGGCTCCACCCACAGAAAGCCACAGGCTCCACCCACAGAAAGCCACAAGCTCCACCCACAGAAAGCCACAGGCTCCACCCACAGAAAGCCACAGGCTCCACCCACAGAAAGCCACAGGCTCCACCCACAGAAAGCCACAGGCTCCACCCACAGAAAGCCACAGGCTCCACCCACAGAAAGCCACAGGCTCCACCCACAGAAAGCCACAGGCTCCACCCACAGAAAGCCACAAGCTCCACCTACAGAAAGCCACACTCCTAACTCAAATAAATTCTTAAAGTATACAAACTAATTAATAACAGAAAAAAATAAATAAACTTGTAATCAAAAAATACAACAATTAATTTAACAGCCAACATGTAGTACGTTCTGATGACGTCACCACATCGCAACTCTCTCCCGGTGCGTCACAATCCGGAAACCAGACAATTGAAAATAAGGCCAAGAAAATGTTTGAAAGTGACAGAAAAGGATTAATGTGAACTGAAGCGAGAACAACGAGTGACCCACGATGAACCATGATGAACCGCGGCAGTCCAAGCTGCAACCAAACATAAGTTAGAGATTGTGTGTGTGTGTGTGTGTGTGTGTGTGTGTGTTTTGCACAGACATGATTCCCAGTTCTCTGCTCTATCGCCTGCAGATACATTTTTTCTGACGTTGAATAACTGAGAGGTGATGTGGCGGCTCAGGGGGGTAAACGGCCTATTTAAAGCAGGGTTAGAAATGAGGGCCATTGCATCCAGGATGAGCTGCTTTAGTTCCAGTGAGTCGTGTCCTTCCTCCTCTGATGATTCCTGCGTCTCTGTCAGGATTTACTCTGGAGGTTTGTATTTTATTTTGGTGCATTTTTTGGGTGGAACATGTTAGAATGTGATGTTTAGATCTGCAGGTTTTGAGAATTGATTCATGTAGTTTTTCTTTGCTTTGATTATGCTGCAGCCTTTTCAACACAAAGACATTTGATTCCGTTTTAAATGAGATGGCTTACTTTTAAAGAGTCAGCATTTTATTTCTGTTTTTAGTCTTGAAAAAACATTTTAAACCCTGAAAGATGATGATAGATAGATGGATAGATCTAAATATCACTGCTCCTTTTAATGTTGAAGAAATTGAAACCATTTATTCCATAAAAAATAGAAAAAAAATGCTGAGATCTGAATGTCTTCTCATTATAACGTCTATTATTTAAGGGGCTGCACGGTGGGGCAGCGGGTAGCACTGCAGCCAGAAGGTTCTGGGTTCGATTTGTGGCCCGGGTTGCTGTCCCTGTGGGCTCTCTCCAGGTGTGTGTGTGTGTGGCTGTGTGTGTGGTTGTTAGGTCGTGACCCCTCTCTCTCTTTATGTTTGGATAAAATGAATATAAAGATGATTCAAGTGTTTTTCTGCGTCACTCTGAAAATGTTAATAATGTAGCTCAGGTGAAACAATGAAGTCTTAGAAAACGGTTTAAAGGGGAATTTTAATGAAACGTCCTAGTCAAAGATAACACCGTGGTGTTTTATTTGTTACTGGAAGCCGATTTAAAAGCACCAAAGTCTCGACTCACAAAGCTGTTTGATTTTCAGAGATTCTGATGTTAAATGTTTTATCTGGTAATAAAAACTGAAAATAAAAAGTCAGTCGGGTTTTTAAGACACGATGAGTTTCATCAAACGATCAGATTCTTCAGGATCTATGATCAATAATCAGCAGCTGACAGACAGGATGTGGTGCTGAAACAGATTCATCACATCACAGATAAAACTGTTAAAACTCTCAACATGCAGCAGAAGCAGAAAGTCAGAGAAAAGAAGCAGCAGGAAGAGAGCGAGTCGAAACTCGCCGAGGAGACAAGGAGAGGAGGAAACGAGGAGACGAGGAAATGAAAATCAGGCCGAAAAACAGAAACTCAAAAACAGACAAATCAGATTTAATGTTCATCCAACAAAACCCAGTCAGAGATCCTGGTCAACTAAATAAAAGTGATCAACTATCATTGATGGGAAATCTTTACCGTGTCTCTACTTGCTCTCGTCACAAACTTTAATATGACCTTGTTATGTATTTTCAGAATGTAAAATGTTGTAAACTGATTGAACTGAATCTGAGTCCATGTAACATTTCATAACTTGTGTCTGAATGAATCAGTTCAAGGATTTCCTGCTTCCTGTGGATGAAGCCGTCCGACCAGATCCAACCCCCAGGCTTAATCTGATTCCTCCAGGCTTAATCTGATTCCTCCAGGCTTAATCTGGTTCCTCCAGGCTTAATCTGATTCCTCCAGGCTGGATCTGGGTCCTTCAGGCTTAATCTGGTTCCTCCAGGCTGGATCTGGTCCCTCCAGGCTGGATCTGGTCCCTCCAGGCTGGATCTGGTCCCTCCAGGCTGGAACCTGCAGCGTCTTTCACAGAGAAATTGTTTTTGTTTCTGTGAAGACAAACAGTTTGTGGTTTTAATGAACCCTTCCTCCTCTTCATCATCATCAGCTTTTAAACCTGGTTTCCACCTTTAAACTGGATTCAAAGACATTTAGGTTCACATCAAGGCAGAAGAGAAAAGACGTGGAAATGAAGTTTTATGGAAAAATACAGAAACATTTGAAATAACTATATTTACCATGAAACAGAATTAAAGGCTGGATGTTCTTGAGGACGTTACAGGAGCAGATCTGGTTCAAGTTCAGGTCATAATCATTTAGCAGGAATTCAGACACAACTGACCAAATCTCAACTTTCTCCATCAGAGAATCTGAAGCTGAGGGTCCTGGTGATGGGGACGGACCTCGACCAAACCAAGAAGCTCGTAAAAGACCTGGAGCAATCCAATAAATCCGGTCCAGACGGCCGCTGCGTCAACGTCGGCTGTCTGGCTGGACGTGTTTCTGTGACCATCGACGGGTTGAACATGGTTGTCTTTAACACCAGGGCTATGTGCAACTCAGACGACCTTGGAATGATGATAAACCAGACCCGGGCGTGCATCTCAACGTCGGCCCGCCACATCTTCCTGCTCCAGCTGAACCAAAACCCACCAGCAGACGGAAAGAAGGAGAAAGACCAGAACCTGGTGGCGAGGGACCAGGAGGAGAGGGACCTGGTGGAGAGGGTTAAAAAGACTTTTGGTGACAAAGCATTGGAGAACGCGGTCGTTGTGTTCAGAAACGTTAAATCTGATTTTAAAACCCTGAATGAAAACCTCCAAAAGAACGAAACACTCCACAGCCTTTTACAGAGCAGCCAATTGGTGACGTCCAAACTGGGAGACAGTGTCCCAGCTGGTGTAAAGAAAGGCATCGATAACATCATCCAGGCTGACCAAACCTGCTACACCCACAAGATGATGGCGGCTCAGAGCAAGAAAAAATGGGAATGGAAAAATTTTTCTCTCAGAAAAAAAGTGTGTGTGCTGATCCTGGGGTGGGTGGGACTTGCAGTCGGATTCTTTTTCTCCTGCTGGGTGAAAGATCTGATAGAAATGGCGGCGGCTGCTGCCACCAAACACCTGATGCAGGTTTCAGAGTAACGAGCCGCCATGAAGCTCAAAGCTTCAGCAGGTCCTGGACCTGCAGCCACAGACCGGTTCTGATCCGATGAGCGCCGGGCTTTATCATATTAATCATATTCTGTTTGCTTCAACCTTTATCTAATATATTTATAGACCACACAATACATTTTATTCATCCAGAACATTTGATCATGTGGGAAGAATCCAGTTCTGCTCCTGCAGCCTGATTCCAGATGTCAGAAACGATTTTATTACATCTATTTTAATCTTGTGGCCTGAAAATAGGCAAGCAGGTTCTGAGAAACAGTGTCACTGTTTTTAAATCGCTTTTCTATTGTTTTACTCTTGTGTTTATGTATTAATTGCTTTTATTCTGTAACCAGGTGTCTGTGTTGCTGATTTCTGCCCAAGAAATGAGATCCAGATCTCAGCAGGTTCACCTGGTTAAAGGAAATGAAAAAAAAACAATTTAACTGAAATTATATTTTTATTTCTGTACATTATAGAACTGTAACTCTGGTCAAATGTTTTCTCCTCCTGAACATTAACGAGTTTAAACTGCAGGTTTTATTCATTTCTGATGATCTTGACTATAAATCTATAAACTGTTCAAATAGACTTTGATCTCAAAGGGAAACACGTCGAGATTCCTGGATAAAACTCTTTGAAATGTTTGCATGGCTGTTCTGAGGTTTTGGGCTTTGCTCTGTACTGTAAAGTTTGTTCTGGTGGTTTGTGGACCCGGTTCTGAAACCATCCTGTCTGAACCAAATTAAAAGCATCAGTCTGTTTGTTAGAGAATCCAAAGATTTCACTCCAGTGAGAGACACATGGTGAAGTCAAACGCCTCATTTTCTCCAGTGACTCTAACAGTTTGTGGTAAAGTGCTGAGTCAGCTTCAGACACACTGACACTGTCGTTAACATCAGTGGATCTGTGGGACTTTGTCACAAAAAGCAGAAATGAAGAGAAGAGCTGAAAAAACAACAAACTAATCTGGTAGTTTCTGCAACATATCAAGAGGCCGAGGACCGGACCGGTCCAAAACCAGAGAGCTAATCCCAGATTAGCTGCTTACAGAACCAGTTTCTAAAAGGTCAGCAGAGGGAGAAACACGACCAACCTGCAAGAGATTCGTTTATTTACAGGAATTACAGCAGATATACAGTCAGGACGGCGGCTGCAGGTTTTCTGTTTGGCTGTGGAAAATCTGCATAAAACCAAACGAAACATTTTCTAATATTCCAGTTAATCTGCAGAAACAGAAACCTGGATAATCTGTTCAGGCAGGAGGGAAGATGCATCTTCCAGAAACAGGAAGTCCTTTCATCAAACTACTAACGTCCTCAGAGGAACACTGCCCTCTGCTGGTCACACGATGCACACAGCTGAGAAAACTGAAAATCTGGAGTCAAATCCAGAAATATTCAAGATTCCCATCAGAACCTGAATCCGCCTTAATGTTTTCATTTCAATCAGTTTTTCACTGAGCAGCTGAGCGGCAGGCTGCGTGTCTGGGAGAGGTCGGTGACCCCTGGGACTGCGGGTCGACCTCCGACTCCCTGCTGATGATCATCATGTGAACGGTGTGGTTGCCCGGCAAGGCCGACCCGGCCAGCTCACACCCATCCGCACCGAAGTCCGCCAGCGGCACCGAGACGCAGCGCAGCCTCCAGCGGTGGAGCAGGGCCTCCAGGGACCAATCAGAGCTGTAAGGTCAACCAGAGGTCAGAGGTTAGACACTTTACCGCACTGGCACTGTAACTTCAGTCTGCTGGTAAAGATGTCAAACTTTCTCATTACATTAAACTTCACTGCAGCAGCAATTTGAAACAGCGAGAATTTCTATCCCAACTACAAGAATAAATATTATGGGAATAATAATACGATATTATCATGACATGATTATTATGATGGTTGAATGGAAATCATTTCACAACGCGAGAGAAACTGATAATATTATCAGAATAAAGTCATAATTATAAGAGACAATCTGAAATAAAACCAGGAATGTTGAACATTTGATGAAGTTATACTTTGTCATCAGATTATTAATAAGAAAATATTTTTATTTTCAAACCATCAACACCAGATTATCAGCAGCAGGACTTTGCAATCACTGAGCCTGGAGTGTGCAGATAAAAACCCTTCAGTGTTAAACCTTCCTGTGGCTCTTGCTTCTGGCCTGGGTTAGGGTCAGGGTTGGGGTCATGGTTGGGGTCATGGTTGGGTTAGGGTTGGGTTAGGGTTGGGTTAGGGTTGGGGTCATGGTTTGTCGGTCTGTGTGTTGATGCAGTCAGAGGTTTGCAACATGTTCATTTTTCTGGATTTGAATTTAAACCACCTGCTAGATCCAGTCTGGAGAAATGTTCTCAACCTGCAGCTTGAGTTCTGCAGGTTGAGAACCTTCCAGCAGCAGCAGTACCTCCTCACTTGGTACGTGGTCCAGAACTGAGCCTCCGGGTTTTTCCTCAGCAGGCAGACAAACGTCACCAGAACATCTTCAAAATCTGGAAACAGAAGCAGCAGCTCAGCGACAGCTGGATGAGGAGGCCTCAGCCTTCATCTGCGAGTGTCACGCCGACCCTCGGGGTCGTAGAAGACGTCTGAGCCGAGGACGACGTCCTGCGGGGGCAGCAGCAGCAGCTCCGGGGTCACGTCCCCCCAGCTGAGGCCCAACACGCCGACGTCCCGCAGCCCGTTGGCAGCGCAGCTCCGCCGGCCGTTCTCCAGGCACCGCGGCCGGTCCGATCCGTCCGACAGCGACACGCGGGCGCCGCAGCGGGCCGCCAGCACGCCGGGGAGACCCACACCGGCGCCGAGCTGAGCACAGGAGGGTCAACACGGGTCAACATGGGGTCAACACGGGATCAGAAACTACCCGTCCTCCTCACCTCCAGCATCGCCCGGCCTCTCAGCTGGTCTCGGTGGAACCACAGGTACTGGGCCAGAACCACGGCGCAGGGCCACACGTACATCCCATACTGAGGGTCCAGAACCTGCGGGTCCAGAACCGCAGTCAGAACCGAACAGGAACTAATGATGTCAGCTCTAAGCGTCTTCTGTCAAATTCAAACGTTATCAAATCTTTTGCATTTCCCAGATGTTACAAAAACTAGATCAGCATCTGTTTACATTAATGTATTAATGAGACTTGTTTTATTACGAGAATAAAGTCATAATACCAGTAGAATAAAGAACAACAATGTCAGCAGAAAATCATAAATTTGGAGAAAAACGTTGTTTTAACGAGAAAAAATCTTTGAGTTTTTAGATATTTCCCTATTTGTAAAACCACAGAATAACTTCACAACATTCCTCTTTTTATTCTCATTACTTTTTGTGGAGGAGATATCATGAAATTACACCTTATTGTGAAAATATAGCGGCTGTATAATAGAAATATAGCGGCTGTATAATAGAAATATAGCGGCTGTATAATAGAAATATAGCGGCTGTATAATAGAAATATAGCGGCTGTATAATAGAAATATAGCGGCTGTATGATAGAAATATAGCGGCTGTATAATAGAAATATAGCGGCTGTATAATAGAAATGTAGCGGCTGTATAATAGAAATATAGCGGCTGTATAATAGAAATATAGCGGCTGTATAATAGAAATATAGCGGCTGTATAATAGAAATATAGCGGCTGTATAATAGAAATATAGCGGCTGTATAATAGAAATGTAGCGGCTGTATGGTGACGCGGCGGGGAGCTGCAGCACCAACCTCTGGGATGCAGACACTCAGACTCTCCTCTGGGTGTTTCGCGTCTGTGAAGGTGAAAACTTTGCTCCCCTCCATCGCGGCCAGCAGCTCCACCTGCGGCTCAACGTGGAGCCTCTGATCCAGTCACTGACTGTATCTGACCCCGCCACGCTGGTCGCGTCTTCCGCGGTGTGATGAGGGTCCGTTCCGTCGCAATTAGCCGGTGTGCGAGTCAGCTGGAGGCGCTAAACATCGATGATGAAGAGTTTTCTTTTTAAGCGTCACCGGTAATCATGATTAGCATAAATATAAATTACTATGAATTCAAACACATTATTATTATATGATCAATTCTTGGTCATGTGCAACAATGAAGCTCTATATTGATCAAAACCTGTTACTTTGTTTGCTAATTTAGTACAGAATTTTGGCGTAGACATCACTTAGGATAAACCAATAAGTTATCAATAAAAACAGCGGCAGTAACGCATCGTTAATAAAGCAAGTTTAGAAGAAAGCTGAACTGAAACGCTACCTTCTCCTTCGCGGTACGCCGCTCTCTGCACCGGCTAGGAAATCGGGCAGAGTTTCTGCTTGTGTCGTTGTAAATCCCACCCAGAGTTTCTGGTGCGTTGCGGTGTCCTCGAAAGTCGCAATGTTTACTGGAAAAGCCGTTCACTAAAAAAACAGAAGGATCTGTTAACTGATGTACTCAATTACTGACCTGAACATTAGTGTTAAATGTCCAAAATGGTCAAGCTCTTTTTTTAATTTCGTCTGAAATAAAAAACGATTGCGTTTGATATAATATAAACATTCCGACCTCCGGGTAGGTCTTGAACGTAGCAGCCAATAACATTAATGGGCGGGAATGCTTTGTAGATGACCAACACCAATCAGCGCACTGCAAATTTTGTGAAGCTGCAGCCAATCAGATGCCTTCCGTCTCATTTAGGGCGGGTGTGAATTGCGTAATCAGTTTCACAAGCATTGTGTGTCCCGCTGTTAGATTTGATCAAACTTTAATGGTGTGTCTGCGGTTTTAAAGCTCACATTTATAGTTACACATCACAGAAGTTCGAGAGCAGCTTGCGTTTATGTCGTTGTTTTGTGTTATTAAAGCGACGCCGAGAGCAGGTGGGTGAATGTAGCCCCGAGTTAGCTCAGTTAGAGGCTAATCAAACACTGCTAACCGGAAGAAAATGAACCATAAAAGTAAGAAGAGAATAAAAGAGGCGAAGCGGAGCGCCAGACCAGAGCTGAAGGATTCCCTAGACTGGATGAAACACGATTATTATGAGAACTTCGACGTATCGCATCAAACCGTGAAGGTAACAGTTTATCTCCCCCAGCCGAGCTAACAGCAGCTAGCCGCGGAGAACAGTGCGCTTGGTCACGTAGACAATGTAGGATCCGTTGTTAGCGCGCCCTCTGCTGGAGGAGCGGCAGCTGCATCCCTGCTTTTACGCAATTAGACTTATTTAATATTTGTATGAGAAATGAAAGTAGGTAAAGTTAATAGATTGGTCACGTAACCTGTTAATGAAGCAGAATTAACCTAAAAACACGCATAACTGTTCTTCATAGAAGTGGTTTAGTTTTTTTATTCCCTGGTTTTGAAATCCCTTCAAATGTAAAGTTTTATTGATTCCCACTTCCACATATGGTGTTGTTATGTATTGTAACGTTTACAGTGCTCCTCAGACAGACTTTGATATTAGTGTTGAACAAAGGTTAAAGCCAGTCATGAAACTACTATAACGGTAAAGAAAGGGATCATTGCTACTGAGGAAACCCTGGAGGTCAATCTGAGAACTCAGAGGTCGTCTCCACAGCTGGAGGTGGATCCAGGTTAACCGGCGATTTGGGTCTTTCCACACAGGCGGAACCAGAACCTTCAGTCAGGCCTGATACCATAACAGATTTTAGTGGATGATACAATGTCCCAGAAAGTTTTGCTATAAGACACCGATAATATTGTTTATAGCAATGTTATTGTTACAGTAATAACAATAACATTGAGAACACATTCTCAAAGATCAATAAACTTCAGGGTTTCCCTCAGAAAACCTGCTCAGCCCGGCGGTCGACGCGCCGAGGCGTCCGCCATGTTTTTGTAGTAAAACATGTAAAGTTGACAGGAAAATAAAAGTATTGTTGGGTAATTATATGAAAACATGGCCAGTGAAACTATTTAAACCCAAAACTAGTCTTAAAAACAACACATCAAAAAGTACAATGAATCATAATTATTAGCATTTCTGTTTAATCCAAATAAAGTCATCAGGGCTTCTGGGGCCATAAATGATAACACAGACCACAAATATAGAAATGTAACATTTGTTTATTGAGATGATCAGTGCTGCTAATACATAGATTGAAATACTTCAAATAGTTTAAACATTTAAATGTAAGATTCGGGGGGTGTTGTGTGGCGCAGAGGTCAGCAGGGGTCAGCACGCCCCACGTTTGGAGGCCTCAGTCCTCAACGCGGGTTTGACTTCTGGCGACCTTTGCCACATGTCTTCCCCTCTCCTCGCCCTCTTTCCTGTCTGCCTACTGTCAAAAATATGAGCCGCAAAAACTCTTTGGAGAAAAAAAAATGATAAAAAAAAGTTTATAGCAGCTGACAAGTTTGTAAAAGATTGTTTTTTTTACCATAGCAACAATCTGATGCTGTGAGTTTAATCTTTGAGTTTGAGTGGGTTGTTGACAAGTACAAATTAATAAACTGTAATTATAACTGATTGTTTTTAGGTTGGCCAGTTAATCTGCTTTAATCTCCCAGATTAAAACCAACAGAAGCTGTTAGAGGTTCTGATGTTTTAGCATGCAGCCTTGGACCGGCCCTGCAGGATGAAAGCGACTACATAGAGCTGCACAACCAGAGCTGATGCGGCGCTTTAGACTCCTACCTTGATGTAGAATTCTCCAAAGAATCATGATTCCTCCCAGGGGGTTTGATGGAAACATCCTCACAGGTCGGCCAGTGTCCAGTTGGAGTGAAAGGAGGAGCGCGACCTCTGCTGAGGTGAACTTGACAGATCCAGAGCGAGGCAACATGCTGAGGCAACATGCTGAAGCAACATGCTGAGGCAACATGCTGAGGCAACATGCTGAGGCAACATGCTGAGGCAACATGCTGAAGCAACATGCTGAAGCAACATGCTGAGGCAACATGCTGAGGCAACATGCTGAAGCAACATGCTGAGGCAACATGCTGAAGCAACATGCTGAGGCAACATGCTGAAGCAACATGCTAAAGCAACATGCTGAGGCAACATGCTGAGGCAACATGTTGAAGCAACATGCTGAGGCAACATGCTGAGGCAACATGCTGAGGCAACATGCTGAAGCAACATGCTAAAGCAACATGCTGAGGCAACATGCTGAGGCAACATGTTGAAGCAACATGCTGAAGCAACATGCTGAGGCAACATGCTGAGGCAACATGCTGAAGCAACATGCTGAGGCAACATGCTGAAGCAACATGCTGAAGCAACATGCTGAGGCAACATGCTGAGGCAACATGCTGAGGCAACATGCTGAAGCAACATGCTAAAGCAACATGCTGAGGCAACATGCTGAGGCAACATGTTGAGGCAACATGCTGAAGCAACATGCTGAGGCAACATGCTGAAGCAACATGCTGAGGCAACATGCTGAAGCAACATGTTGAGGCAACATGCTGAAGCAACATGCTGAAGCAACATGCTGAGGCAACATGCTGAGGCAACATGCTGAAGCAACATGCTGAGGCAACATGCTGAAGCAACATGCTGAAGCAACATGCTGAGGCAACATGTTGAAGCAACATGCTGAGGCAACATGTTGAAGCAACATGCTGAGGCAACATGCTGAGGCAACATGTTGAGGCAACATGCTGAAGCAACATGCTGAGGCAACATGCTGAAGCAACATGCTGAGGCAACATGCTGAAGCAACATGCTGAGGCAACATGTTGAAGCAACATGCTGAGGCAACATGCTGAAGCAACATGTTGAGGCAACATGCTGAAGCAACATGCTGAAGCAACATGTTGAGGCAACATGCTGAAGCAACATGCTGAGGCAACATGTTGAAGCAACATGCTGAGGCAACATGCTGAAGCAACATGCTGAGGCAACATGCTGAAGCAACATGTTGAGGCAACATGCTGAAGCAACATGTTGAGGCAACATGCTGAAGCAACATGTTGAGGCAACATGCTGAGGCAACATGCTGAAGCAACATGCTGAGGCAACATGTTGAGGCAACATGCTGAGGCAACATGCTGAAGCAACATGCTGAGGCAACATGCTGAGGCAACATGCTGAAGCAACATGCTGAAGCAACATGCTGAGGCAACATGCTGAAGCAACATGCTGAGGCAACATGCTGAAGCAACATGTTGAGGCAACATGCTGAAGCAACATGTTGAGGCAACATGCTGAAGCAACATGTTGAGGCAACATGCTGAGGCAACATGCTGAAGCAACATGCTGAGGCAACATGTTGAGGCAACATGCTGAAGCAACATGTTGAGGCAACATGCTGAGGCAACATGCTGAAGCAACATGCTGAGGCAACATGTTGAGGCAACATGCTGAGGCAACATGCTGAAGCAACATGCTGAAGCAACATGCTGAGGCAACATGTTGAGGCAACATGCTGAAGCAACATGTTGAGGCAACATGCTGAGGCAACATGCTGAGGCAACATGCTGAGGCAACATGTTGAGGCAACATGCTGAAGCAACATGTTGAGGCAACGCGCTGAGGCAACATGCTGAGGCAACATGCTGAGGCAACATGCTGAGGCAACATGTTGAGGCAACATGCTGAAGCAACATGCTGAGGCAACATGCTGAGGCAACATGCTGAGGCAACATGTTGAGGCAACATGCTGAGGCAACATGTTGAGGCAACATGTTGAGGCAACATGCTGAAGCAACATGTTGAGGCAACATGCTGAAGCAACATGTTGAGGCAACATGCTGAGGCAACATGCTGAAGCAACATGTTGAGGCAACATGCTGAAGCAACATGTTGAGGCAACATGCTGAGGCAACATGCTGAAGCAACATGCTGAGGCAACATGCTGAGGCAACATGCTGAAGCAACATGCTGAGGCAACATGCTGAAGCAACATGCTGAGGCAACATGCTGAAGCAACATGTTGAGGCAACATGCTGAGGCAACATGCTGAAGCAACATGCTGAGGCAACATGCTGAGGCAACATGCTGAAGCAACATGCTGAGGCAACATGCTGAAGCAACATGCTGAGGCAACATGCTGAAGCAACATGCTGAAGCAACATGTTGAGGCAACATGCTGAAGCAACATGTTGAGGCAACATGCTGAAGCAACATGCTGAAGCAACATGCTGAGGCAACATGCTGAAGCAACATGCTGAGGCAACATGCTGAAGCAACATGCTGAGGCAACATGTTGAGGCAACATGCTGAAGCAACATGTTGAGGCAACATGCTGAGGCAACATGCTGAAGCAACATGCTGAGGCAACATGCTGAGGCAACATGCTGAGGCAACATGCTGAAGCAACATGCTGAGGCAACATGCTGAAGCAACATGCTGAAGCAACATGCTGAGGCAACGCGCTGAGGCAACATGTTGAGGCAACATGCTGAGGCAACATGCTGAGGCAACATGCTGAAGCAACATGTTGAGGCAACATGCTGAGGCAACATGCTGAGGCAACATGCTGAAGCAACATGCTGAGGCAACATGTTGAGGCAACATGTTGAAGCAACATGCTGAGGCAACGCGCTGAGGCAACATGTTGAGGCAACGCGCTGAGGCAACATGCTGAGGCAACATGCTGAAGCAACATGCTGAGGCAACATGCTGAGGCAACATGCTGAGGCAACATGCTGAGGCAACATGCTGAAGCAACATGCTGAGGCAACATGCTGAGGCAACATGCTGAAGCAACATGCTGAAGCAACATGTTGAGGCAACATGCTGAAGCAACATGCTGAAGCAACATGCTGAGGCAACATGCTGAGGCAACATGCTGAAGCAACATGCTGAAGCAACATGCTGAGGCAACATGCTGAAGCAACATGCTGAGGCAACATGCTGAGGCAACATGTTGAAGCAACATGCTGAGGCAACGCGCTGAGGCAACATGTTGAGGCAACGCGCTGAGGCAACATGTTGAGGCAACATGCTGAAGCAACATGCTGAGGCAACATGCTGAGGCAACATGCTGAGGCAACATGCTGAGGCAACATGCTGAAGCAACATGCTGAGGCAACATGCTGAAGCAACATGCTGAAGCAACATGCTGAGGCAACATGCTGAGGCAACATGTTGAGGCAACATGCTGAGGCAACATGCTGAGGCAACATGCTGAGGCAACATGCTGAGGCAACATGCTGAGGCAACATGCTGAAGCAACATCCTGAGGCAACGCGGTGAGGCAACATGCTGAGGCAACATGCTGAAGCAACATGCTGAGGCAACATGCTGAGGCAACATGCTGAGGCAACATGCTGAAGCAACATGCTGAGGCAACATGCTGAGGCAACATGCTGAAGCAACATGCTGAAGCAACATGTTGAGGCAACATGCTGAAGCAACATGCTGAAGCAACATGCTGAGGCAACATGCTGAGGCAACATGCTGAAGCAACATGCTGAAGCAACATGTTGAGGCAACATGCTGAAGCAACATGTTGAGGCAACATGCTGAAGCAACATGTTGAGGCAACATGCTGAAGCAACATGCTGAGGCAACATGTTGAAGCAACATGCTGAAGCAACATGCTGAGGCAACATGCTGAAGCAACATGCTGAGGCAACATGCTGAGGCAACATGCTGAGGCAACATGCTGAAGCAACATGCTGAGGCAACATGCTGAGGCAACATGCTGAAGCAACATGCTGAAGCAACATGTTGAGGCAACATGCTGAAGCAACATGCTGAAGCAACATGTTGAGGCAACATGCTGAGGCAACATGCTGAAGCAACATGTTGAGGCAACATGCTGAAGCAACATGTTGAGGCAACATGCTGAAGCAACATGCTGAGGCAACATGTTGAAGCAACATGCTGAAGCAACATGCTGAGGCAACATGTTGAGGCAACATGCTGAGGCAACATGTTGAAGCAACATGTTGAGGCAACATGTTGAGGCAACATGCTGAGGCAACATGCTGAGGCAACATGCTGAGGCAACATGCTGAGGCAACATGCTGAAGCAACATGTTGAGGCAACATGCTGAAGCAACATGCTGTGATTGGTCGCTCTGTCAGATTTAAATAATAATAAACTATAAACATTTTTTACTCTGCAAGTGAAACTCTCAGAGCAACGGAGACGCTTGCAATCCGGATCAACACAGGAACTGGAAAACATTTTTGAATAAACCAACAAATAAAGTGAATTATAAAAAATTGTAAACAAAATTGTGATGACAAAATAAGATTTATTTGTGACCAAATCAGCAGCCTGAAGACTTTTATCACCCATTTTTTGATAGGAGACAATCAACAAATGATGTAAATGGAAATGATTGACTCAGTTTTAATGTATGTGATTAATTGATTTGTTGCGACAGATCTAATCTGTGAATTGAGGCCTCCTGTTGTCCAGAACCAAACCAACCGTGTCGGATTATTCCTGTGGTTTTGCCTACCTTGCTGAAGGACTTCCTGTCTTGCAGGACAACGTGGAGCGTGTGGACGCGCTGCACCTCTCTCCAGAGGAGTTCATCTCGCGCTTCGAGCGCCCCTACAAACCCGTCGTCCTCCTCAACTGCCAGGAGAGCTGGCCAGCTCGGGAGAAATGGACGCTGGAGCGCCTCAAACGCAAATACCGCAACCAGAAGTTCAAGTGCGGCGAGGACAACGACGGCTACTCTGTCAAGCTGAAGATGAAGTATTACGTGGAGTACCTGGAGTCCACGCACGACGACAGCCCGCTCTACATCTTCGACAGCAGCTACGGCGAACACGCCAAGCGCTGCAAACTGCTGGACGACTACGAGGTGCCGCTCTTCTTCAGGGACGACCTGTTCCAGTTCGCTGGGGAGAAGCGCAGACCGCCGTACAGGTGAGCCCCCTGCTCACCCTGCACTTTAAACAGGGTAGGGCATTTATTGCATCAGTTATGATTCTCGCAAGACTTTGATTTAATCATTTTAATTAATGATATTCACAAACACCAAGAATTTTTCTCCACTGTTCAGTAAAGGTGTATCAATACATATCCAAAAAATATGGTAGGGGTCCACTGATTTATCAGCACCAATTTTCTTAATTACAGGAGGTCATTAAGAAAATGACCTCCTGGGTAGTAACATGATCTGCAAGTAACCGATCATGTAGTAACATGATCGGTTACTACCCGATCATGTCGACCTACTGACCTCAGCTGCTCTGCAGTGAGAGGTTTGACTGTTAGCCCCACCTATAATGTTAGCCCCGCCCATAGAGTTAGCCCCACCTATAATGTTAGCCCCGCCCATAGATCTAGCCCCACCTATAACGTTAGCCCCGCCCATAGAGTTAGCCCCACCTATAATGTTAGCCCCGCCCATAGAGTTAGCCCCACCTATAACGTTAGCCCCGCCCATAGAGTTAGCCCCACCTATAACGTTAGCCCCGCCCATAGAGTTAGCCCCACCTATAATGTTAGCCCCGCCCATAGAGTTAGCCCCACCTATAACGTTAGCCCTGCCCATAGAGTTAGCCCCACCTATAACGTTAGCCCCGCCCATAGATCTAGCCCCACCTATAACGTTAGCCCCGCCCATAGAGTTAGCCCCACCTATAACGTTAGCCCCGCCCATAGAGTTAGCCCCACCTATAATGTTAGCCCCGCCCATAGAGTTAGCCCCACCTATAACGTTAGCCCCGCCCATAGAGTTAGCCCCACCTATAACGTTAGCCCCGCCCATAGAGTTAGCCCCACCTATAACGTTAGCCCCGCCCATAGAGTTAGCCCCACCTATAACGTTAGCCCCGCCCATAGAGTTAGCCCCACCTATAACGTTAGCCCCGCCCATCCGGGTTTGGCTTTTTAAAGATCAGCCAGTAAACTCCAACTTGTGCCACCCTAAAAATATGATTAAGTGTAGTTACTGTGATCACTTTAGTGACATAAATCTTGTTTATTTTAAAGAAGGATGTAATAAAAATTATAAACCTTTGTGGGTGTGTAATTTTGTCTCTTTTCTCGTCATAACTGTGACCCAACTGTCCATAACTGTGACCTGTGACCCCTCAGGTGGTTCGTGATGGGCCCGGCCCGCTCCGGCACCGGGATCCACATCGACCCGCTGGGCACTAGCGCCTGGAACGCCCTGGTGCAGGGCCACAAGCGCTGGTGCCTGTTCCCCACCAACACGCCGCGCGAGCTCATCAAGGTGACCCGGGAGGAGGGCGGCAACCAGCAGGACGAGGCCGTCACCTGGTTCAGCGTGGTCTACCCCCGCACCCAGCAGCACACCTGGCCGCCCGACTTCAGGCCGCTGGAGGTGCTGCAGCGGCCTGGAGAGACCGTCTTCGTCCCGGGTCAGTCCGGTTCCGCTCACCGTTTTCGTCCATAAACCAAAAACATTTGAGCATCAAATTGTGTCACTGAAATCGGCGACACAGCGTTAGCTGAGCTTTCACTGAACCGAAAATATCAAAGAATCATTCAGGACGTAATTTTACAAAACATTAAGCTGATCGCACTGGTTCTCATTGGACCGGTTCTGATTGGACCACTGATGGTTCTGATCCACCTCAGATACCGTCAGTCATTTGGATCAGCTGAATCAGGAGACGTGAGGCCCGGCTGCCGAACACTTCTCAATCAATCAACATTTGACCTGATGCTCACTGATTAGTTGAGTGATTGGTTGATATTGGCCGATCGATCGGCTGGTTTTCACCGATTGATCGGCTGGTTTTAACTGATAGGTCGGCTGGTTTTCACTGATTGATCGGCTGGTTTTAACTGATAGGTCGGCTGGTTTTCACTGATTGATCGGCTGGTTTTAACTGATAGGTCGGCTGGTTTTCACCGATCAATCGGCTGGTTTCACCGATCAATCGGCTGGTTTCACCGATCGATCGGCTGGTTTTCACTGATTGATCGGCTGGTTTTAACTGATAGGTCGGCTGGTTTTCACTGATTGATCGGCTGGTTTTAACTGATAGGTCGGCTGGTTTTCACCGATCAATCGGCTGGTTTTCACTGATTGATCGGCTGGTTTTAACTGATTGATCAGCTGGTTTCAACTGATAGGTCGGCTGGTTTTCACCGATCGATCGGCTGGTTTTCACTGATCGATCGGCTGGTTTTCACTGATTGATCGGCTGGTTTTCACCGATCGATCGGCTGGTTTTCACTGATTGATCGGCTGGTTTTCACTGATTGATCGGCTGGTTTTCACTGATTGATCGGCTGGTTTTCACCGATCGATCGGCTGGTTTTCACTGATTGATCAGCTGGTTTCCAGGCGGCTGGTGGCACGTCGTCCTGAACTTGGACACGACGATCGCCGTCACGCAGAACTTCGCCAGCACCACAAACTTCCCCATCGTCTGGCACAAGACGGTGCGCGGCCGACCCAAACTGTCCAGGAAGTGGTACCGGTAAGAGAGCGGCGCCGCCCAAACACATCTGAGACATTATTATTTTAAAGGTTTTCAATAAAAGTACAATATGAAAGAGTAACAAAATAGAAACTGCTGTTACTTTGTCATTTAAAACTACATCAGAAAATGTTTTCACTTTAGCATCGTTTACTTTGATTTTTATTCTTTTTTTATTGCATTTTAATTTTTTATTCTTCTCATTCCTTTTAATGTCATTCAGTTCAATAATTCAATAATTTACGTTTTTGTTTGAAAATTATTTTTGTTTCTACAGTATTTTATATATTTTATTTTTCTTTGTGTCCAGTTTAGTTTTTTTATCCTTAAAAATCATCATTTATTATTATTTTATTATAAACTTGAGCTAAAATTTGGGTTTTAGTTATTTTTACAGTTTTCTTTCCAAAAGTTTGGAAAGAAAAGTTTAATTTTCTCAGAGGAAAAAAAATGTTTCAAAGTTTTTCTGTTCTGTGTTGCCGAGGCAACGCATGAATCCAGTGTGTGTGTTTCACGGTGTGTATTACAGTGTGTGTGTATTACAGTGTGTGTATTACAGTGTGTGTATTACAGTGTGTGTATTACAGTGTGTGTGTATTACAGTGTGTGTATTACAGTGTGTGTGTATTACAGTGTGTGTGTATTACAGTGTGTGTGTATTACAGTGTGTGTGTATTACAGTGTGTGTGTATTACAGTGTGTGTATTACAGTGTGTGTATTACAGTGTGTGTATTACAGTGTGTGTATTACAGGTGTGTGTTTTATGGTGTGTGTGTTTCACAGTGTGTATTACAGTGTGTGTATTACAGTGTGTATTACAGTGTGTGTATTACAGTGTGTGTGTATTACAGTGTGTGTGTATTACGGTGTGTGTGTTTTAAGGTGTGTGTGTTTCATGGTGTGTATTACAGTGTGTGTGTATTACAGTGTGTGTGTGTTTTACGGTGTGTGTGTTTCATGTGTGTGTGTTTCATGGTGTGTATTACAGTGTGTGTGTATTACAGTGTGTGTATTACAGTGTGTGTATTACAGTGTGTGTGTATTACAGTGTGTGTATTACAGTGTGTGTATTACAGTGTGTGTATTACAGTGTGTGTATTACAGTGTGTGTATTACAGTGTGTGTGTATTACAGTGTGTGTGTTTTAAGGTGTGTGTGTTTCATGGTGTGTATTACAGTGTGTGTGTATTACAGTGTGTATTACAGTGTGTGTATTACAGTGTGTGTGTATTACAGTGTGTGTGTATTACGGTGTGTGTGTTTTAAGGTGTGTGTGTTTCATGGTGTGTATTACAGTGTGTGTGTATTACAGTGTGTGTGTGTTTTACGGTGTGTGTGTTTCATGGTGTGTGTGTTTCATGGTGTATTACAGTGTGTGTATTACAGTGTGTATTACAGTGTGTGTGTTTTACGGTGTGTGTGTTTCATGGTGTGTGTGTTTCATGGTGTGTATTACAGTGTGTGTGTTTTATGGTGTGTGTGTTTCACGGTGTGTATTACAGTGTGTGTGTATTACAGTGTGTGTGTATTACGGTGTGTGTGTGTTTCACGGTGTGTGTGTTTCACGGTGTGTATTACAGTGTGTGTATTTTACAGTGTGTGTGTTTCACAGTGTGTATTACAGTGTGTGTGTATTACAGTGTGTGTGTTTCATGGTGTGTATTACAGTGTGTGTATTTTACAGTGTGTGTGTTTCACGGTGTGTATTACAGTGTGTATTTTACAGTGTGTGTGTTTCATGTGTGTATTACAGTGTGTATTTTACGGTGTGTGTTTCACGGTGTGTGTGTTTCACAGTGTGTATTACAGTGTGTGTGTTTTACGGTGTGTGTGCTGCAGCATCCTGAAGCAGGAGCGTCCGGATCTGGCGGCGCTGGCTGATAAGGTCGACCTGCAGGAGTCGACCGGCATCGCGTCGGACAGCTCCAGTGACTCTTCGTCCTCGTCCTCGTCCAGCTCCTCCGACTCCAACTCTGACGTAAGGCCGGAACGCCGTCCGACGATCCGAGCCGCCGTACTTCCTGCACGTACATGACTTCCTGTTCTCTGTCTGTCCTGCAGGGGGAGTCGGGCTCCGAGGGCGACGCCGTGTCCCACCGCAGGAAGAAGAGGCGGACCTGCGGGGCAGCGGCCAATGGCGACTCCACCAGCCAGGACGACTGCGCCAGCAAGGAGCGCTGCTCGTCCCGGTGACCCCTGGGGTTGTGACCCCTGGGGTTGTGACCCCTGGGGTTGTGACCTACTGCCTTTAACTGTTAAACCCGTTTGATGAGGCGTTGAGGTGCTTCTGTAGACTAAAGGTCCAGGACGGATGCTGCTGTGGTGAACTCTGACCTTTCTGGACTAAACTGAGGCCTTCTTCACCTGAACGCTGCAGCCGACCCTCGGCTTCTGGGACTCCAGTTGTGCCAAAAACAGGAAGTGATGTCATGTGGTTTCCTGGTTCTTATGAAACTCTTTTAGCGTTGTCTGACCGGCGGATTTGTCTTCTGGGCCTTAAAATAAAGAATTTCAGAGGAAAAGTTCTGCTGTCGGTGTGTGTACTGTCCTGCCTGTGACCATGGCAATATTCAGCACCTCTGTGGCTCGTTAAGCAGGTTCTGCTGGACTCGGCCTGGTTCTGGACCAAACAAAGGAACAGGACCGGCTGAGTTCTGCAGTCTACCCTGACCAGCAGGGGGCGACAGTAGACAGAAAAAAACTCCTTTAGCAGGAAGAAACCTCCACCAGAACCAGAACCAGAACTGGGCTCGGTCTGGAGAAGGAGAAGAAGAACTGAAAATATTCCCATGTTAGAGAAACAGTAGAGAGTTAATAATAATAATGATAATAATGATATTAATGGCTGCTGCTGCTTTAGGGGAGAAACAAACTGATCTGGTTTTAAAGCTTATTAACAGCAAAGGCTCATCTATGAGCTTTGACTAGGACACAGATTCATCTTTCAGCCTCAAGCTAGCACCAGACTGCTGACTCCCTAAAAATACATATTTCTCTGTTACTCATAAAAACAGTAAAATAAGTATATTTTTAAATGAATTTGTTTCATGTCAAATTTATATTGCATCATTTAATGAGACATTTATTTCTAAGATATTTCATGATTTATTGAATCGTTTTGTTCCTCCTTAAACCCCGTGAGTCGCATCCTGATTGTTTTAACTGTAAAGAACAAATTTAAAACATATCGCTGCTCATTGCAGAAAGATTATCAGCAACAAACGTTACAATGGTTCCAAAGAGTAAAAGTTTCCTAAAACTGATATTTATTATATTTCTGATATCTATCTGGATAAATAAATATGTTTTAAGGACTTTATGAGTTTCTGTAAATAGTTCAGAAAAGAAAAACAATTCAAACATGACCTGGATCTCCGGAGTTTCTGACCCGGAAGGGAGGTTCTGCTATGGCCTCCAGCCTTATAAAATAAAAGCTGAACCATGTTCTCAAATTTTTATTTTGAAAACTTAGCACGTTGAACACTTTGCTGAAGTCTTTCTCTTATTTTGAAGCCTATTTATTTCTGGCTCTTATTTTGAAGCCTGTTTATTTCTGGCTCTTATTTTGAAGCCTGTTTATTTCTGGCTCTTATTTTGAAGGTTATTTATTTCGAGCTCTTATTTTGAAGCCTGTTTATTTCTGGCTCTTATTTTGAAGGTTGTTTATTTCTGGCTCTTATTGTGAAGCCTGTTTATTTCTGACTCTTATTTTGAAACTTGTTTATTTCGAGCTCTTATTTTGAAACCTGTTTATTTCGAGCTCTTATTTTGAAACCTGTTTATTTCTGGCTCTTATTTTGAAGCTTGTTTATTTTTGGCTCTTATTTTAAAGCTTGTTTATTTCTGGCTCTTATTTTGAAGCTTGTTTATTTCGAGCTCTTATTTTGAAGCCTGTTTATTTCTAGCTCTTATTTTGAAACCTGTTTATTTCTGGCTCTTATTTTGAAGCTTGTTTATTTTTGGCTCTTATTTTGAAGCCTGTTTATTTCTGGCTCTTATTTTGAAGCTTGTTTATTTTTGGCTCTTATTTTGAAGCTTGTTTATTTCTGGCTCTTATTTTGAAGCTTGTTTATTTTGAGCTCTTATTTTGAAGCTTGTTTATTTCGAGCTCTTATTTTGAAACCTGTTTATTTCTGGCTCTTATTTTGAAGCTTGTTTATTTTTGGCTCTTATTTTGAAGCCTGTTTATTTCTGGCTCTTATTTTGAAGCTTGTTTATTTTTGGCTCTTATTTTGAAGCTTGTTTATTTCTGGCTCTTATTTTGAAGCTTGTTTATTTTTGGCTCTTATTTTGAAGCTTGTTTATTTCTGGCTCTTATTTTGAAGCTTGTTTATTTTTGGCTCTTATTTTGAAGCTTGTTTATTTCGAGCTCTTATTTTGAAGCCTGTTTATTTCTAGCTCTTATTTTGAAGCCTGTTTATTTCTGGCACTTATTTTGAAGCTTGTTTATTTCTGGCTCTTATTTTGAAGCTTGTTTATTTCTGGCTCTTATTTTGAAGCTTGTTTATTTCTGGCTCTTATTTTGAAGCCTGTTTATTTCTAGCTCTTATTTTGAAGCCTGTTTATTTCCAGCTCTTATTTTGAAGCCTGTTTATTTCTGGCACTTATTTTGAAGCTTGTTTATTTCTGGCTCTTATTTTGAAGCTTGTTTATTTCAGGCTCTTATTTTGAAGCCTGTTTATTTCTAGCTCTTATTTTGAAGCCTGTTTATTTCTAGCTCTTATTTTGAAGGTTGTTTATTTCTGGCTCTTATTGTGAAGCCTGTTTATTTCTGACTCTTATTTTGAAACTTGTTTATTTCGAGCTCTTATTTTGAAACCTGTTTATTTCTAGCTCTTATTTTGAAGCCTGTTTATTTCTAGCTCTTATTTTGAAGCCTGTTTATTTCTGGCACTTATATTGAGGCTTGTTTATTTCGGACTCTTATTTTGAAGCGTCCCGTCAGCTGTCGCGGTCGGGCCGAACCTCCGGGCTGGTTCTGCTCAGAGCGCGCCTACTCCCGCCTGGTCGACACCCGCCACTCTTCGGAACCATCATGGACCTGGACCCGGCCGTGCTGCTGCCCGCCGTCCTGTTCACGGTGGTCGCGGTTTATTTGGCTTCATCGCTGCTCCGCCGGAAGCCCGACAGAACCGCCTCCTGCTCGGCCGGGACCAACAAGCCCAAAGTCGGACACGGAGACGATGTTGCTCCGTCTAGACCGCCGGGAGAACCGCTGCTCTCCGCGGGACCAGAACCAGCAGAGAAGAAGCGGGACTCCCCGGAGCTCAAAGTGAAGGTCAGATTTATGATCGATCTTTGATGTATTTATTGATCTGATTAAAACACTATGGGATCTATTAAAACTTTAAACAATTTTAATCTGCTGCTGATTTTCTCATTTTCAACTCCCTCTAGAAAATGAGGTCCAGATCTTAACGGGTTTACCTGCTTAAATAAAGGAAATATATATGATTATTTCCTCTGACACTGCAGAAGTTCTAGTTATTAATCTGCAGCTTTAATTCATAAATATGTCTGCAGGTAGGAGGAGAGGGAAGTCTGGGCTGATATGGATGTTGGTCATTTTCGAATTTAAACTTATGTTGGAGGTGAACAGTAACGGTTCTGGTTCCCCTGGTATGATCTCATCTGTCAGAGGCCCCGGGTCCAGGGTGCCGGGCCCCCCAGGGTTCCTGGGCCCCCAGGGCCCCCCAGGGTCCCTGGGCCCCCAGGGCCCCCCAGGGTCCCCGGCCGCCCTGCCCCCCTCTGGGCCGACGTCTCTGCTGTGAAACTTGCAGCAGCTGCAGATCCACTTACAGAAGCTCCATAAAGGCTGTTTGTGCAGCAGGAACACAGGCGGGTTGTTCTCTCAGCTCAGCTGTTCTGATTTTTGGCTTGAATGCAGCTCCCAGAACCAGAACCAGGTCAGGTCCAAACACTTCAGAGAACTGAGGCCAACAGCAGGTTCTGTCGGGTCGGTGGTTCTGTGGGAAATGCGCTGCTGTTTTCCGGGCGGCTCCAGATTCCCGGTCAGATTTACGGCCCTCTCTGCTGCAGGGTTGCTGTGTTGCTGCGTTGCTGCAACCTGGTTGCAGGCTCCGCCTCGGGCCTCTGCAGCCTAAATAAGGTGGTTGCAGATAAAGCAGCGGGTCGACCAGATGGCATCAGCAGCGTGTTTTTACCCTCCCTGGAGCCAGAAGGTTCCTCTCCTGCCGCTCCGACCAACATGTTGGACTTCTGGAGGAAACGTTGGCAGCAGCTCCTCCTCATAACGCCTCTGTTTCCTCCTGCAAGTTCTGAGGTTCTGTTGGGAGAGTCAAACTCTTCAGACCCAAACAGAGAGACTTGCTGATTTCTATTGGAAGGTGCTCCTCTGCTAATGCTCTGATAGCTTAGCTTTTGGCCATTTCTGCTAACTTTGAAAGCGTTTAGCGCTCTTAGCTTCTCCTGAGGTGATTTTTCTAGATAAATTCTAAAGCAGTAATTTTTTCAGTTGTTTTCTCAAAGCTTTAAGGTTAGCATGTTTCAGCAGCAGTCGTGTCGGTTTAATCCTCTCTCATGGTATTTCCTCGGAGCTGGTTCCGGTTCCGACCTGCCAGCCAACGGGTCCTCAGCTGCTGGACGCTCACCAGCTCTCCACAGTGGCTGACCCCGAGCCTGACCCCGAGTCTGACCCTGAGTCTGACCCTGACCCTGAGTCTAACCCCGAGCTTGACCCCAAGCCTGACCTTAGCTGGTGCTGAATTGTTGGGAAGTCAGGCGGTCGGCTGAGAACAGAGACGATGCGTTGAGCCAGAGATCAGCCTCCTGATCTCTGGCTCCTGATCTCTGGCTCCTGATCTCTGGCTCCTGATCTCTGGCTCCTGATCTCTGGCTCCTGATCTCTGGCTCCTGATCTCTGGCTCCTGATCTCTGGCTCATTGTCAGAATCTGGTTCCACAAATTTAACGGTAAAACAGGAACCAGATGATCTGCAGCACAACGGCAGGGCAGAAAGACATCAGCAATGACAGGTCCAACCGTCTGCAGTCCGTCAGCCTGCAGAAAGGAAAACATCTCAAACTCCACAGGCCTCAGTTAGCAGACTAAGGGTCAAAGGTCATGAACGGAGGCTGGTTCTGGCAGAGACTCAGACAGATGGTTTCTGGGATTAGAGCAGCAGACGGCTGCTAACGCACCCAGGTGACTTAAACCCACCACTTCCCTCCCGGTTCCATCTGGACCCATCTGGACCGGCCCAGTCTGGGGGGCCGAACCCATCCCAGGTCTGGATCCAGTCTAAAACTGGACCAGGAAGATTTACTGTTCAACTGAAGTTCTGCTTGCTGCTCTGAGCTGGAAATCGGATCGGCGGCTCAGATTCCAAAACGCTCCGACTCGGCACTTCCTGAAGGACGCCGACAGCTGGAGCGATCCGACGGAGCAGAGAGGTCCGGTTCTGAACAGAAGACGTGTGTTTGAACGTGTCCGATGAAAGGAGACGGTTTTAGTTGGAGGAGCAACAGATGATCCTCAGAGACGTTCTGAGGTCAGAACCGGACCGGGTTCTGACCGGGTCGCATTTTACAACAAAATAAATCAGTTTTGAATTTTTAAGTTCTGCCTGTAACAATAGAGCAGTTCTGTCTGAGGTCCGTTACCGGTCAGAACCTGAGTTCAGAATCTGGGGTTCCTCTTGGCTCCCTGCTGGGACTCCTGTCATTACGGTGCTGAGCGTCTACATGGTCCAATACTTGATCCAAATCCAGGTGCTTCCAGCTACATATTTTGGTTCTGGAAGTGGCTGATATCCAAACACGAGTCCAAACGGGTCCGGATCTGTCAGAACCCGCTCTATTTCAGGCGATAAAGCAAACCACTAATATGAAGCAGCTGCCACTGTGTCCAATGCTAACTGTCTGCTAACTGTCCTTCATTCCAGGTGGCACCAGAACCCGCTCCAGAACCGGTGACGGTACCAGAACCAGTGAAGCTACCAGAACCAGTCATCAAACAAGCACCATCTCAAGTACCTTTTCCAGAACCATTAGAAGTTTCAGTACCTGTGACAGAACCAGCTGTAGAACCAGAACCAGCTAAAGAACCAGAACCAGCTAAAGAACCAGAACCAGCTAAAGAACCAGAACCAGCTGTAGAACCAGAACCAGCTAAAGAACCAGAACCAGTCAAGCAGAATTTGGGAAAACTTTCCCCAGAACTAACAGCAGCTCAGAAACGGGTCCTTGAAACATTAAAAGTTGTAGAATCTGTACCAGAACCAGAACCAGTGACGGTCACAAAGACTCTAGTGGACTCATCTGTTGTACCAGAACCAGAATCATCTGCATCTCCAGAACCAGTTAAGGTTTCTGATCCAGAACCAAAACCTGAAGTGGTCCAACAGCCAGAGACTGAACCAGAATTTGAGAAGGTGGATGAGTCTGGACCAGAACCAGCAGCTGAAAATGTCTCTGAACCCAAAGGGCTCGTGCCAGAGGAACCGGAACCAGAGGATAACTCTCTGAACGGTAAGAGGCGTTTCGGGGTGTGGACCTCAGGGCTCTGTCCTCGGCTCCCTGTACTGGTCCAAATAAAACAGGTCAGAACTTTAGGAGCTAAACATTTTTCAGAGGTTCTGAGCCTCATTTTTTATGAGATTAAAAAGAAACAGTCATGCACCAGGGAGGGACATAAATGTATGACTACTGCTGCGTCTTCCTGTCATATTAAGGACAGTCAGAATGGCTGTGGTTCCATCTAGTGGTCGGAGGATGAACTGCGCCTTCCTCATGGAAGTGAGCAATGGACCGTAAATAATCATAACTCTGAGCTAAATTCTGCAGTAAAAACAAATATTTGGCATTACTTGTTTTCTGCATATCAGAATAGACAACATGTGACCAAATTCTACAAGTTATTTCTAATTTGGGTAATTTGAGGCTTTTTAGTGACACCTGGAAACTGGAAATGGAAAAGTCTGTGCATGTATTTTGATAACTTTGAAATATAGGATTATTTCACATTACAAAGAATAATATATAAATATTGATTGATAAATAATTATTTACATAAGTAGGTAGGTACACAGCCTAATAAAATATTTTATTGTAAAACAGGAGCTGAAGGCTCCTGGAAAAGTGAAGAAAATTTTAATGTTCAACTGAAAATATAAAACAGTGTGATTTAATTTGAACTGATTTTATATTAAATAAAACTTTGCAGCAAAGAAGTTTTTTCAAAATTTAGTTGTGACGTTCATTCAAAACTATTTATTTTCACTCAGTTTTAGGAAAAGCAGCATTATTAAAATAATCTTCATTCCTTAAGAAGCTCATGGATCTAATTAGCATCACAACTAAATTTACACTAATGGTGGGTCCAGTGTTGAAATAAATATTTAAATAACTTCACATCTAAATGAACTTAAAACTCATACTGACAGAATTTCCATTGATTCAGCGCCTTCACTGTCGATGCAGAAAACATGTTTAGGTTTGAATCTTTAATAAGTGCCTTCAGGCTTCTAGAGAGGAAAACATGGATCCAGGTGATCATTGTGGGCGGAGATAATTTTGATGTTGTTTATTCAAGACAGAAGCTCACTCAGGAACACGACGTCCGGACACTGAGAGGACATTCAGTCTGAGAGGAGACGCTCCACTCAGGAACCGCCTGAGCGACGCGATGCAGCTTTAACTGCAGCAAACATCTGCTGACAGGCTTATCTAGAAGCTGCAGACGCTGAGGAGCAGCAGAATGAGCCGCAGGGACAGACAGGGAGGAGAGACGGGGAGGACAGACAGGGAGGAGAGACGGGGAGGACAGACAGGGAGGAGAGACGGGGAGGACAGACAGGGAGGAGAGACAGGGAGGACAGACAGGGAGGAGAGACGGGGAGGACAGACAGGGAGGAGAGACGGGGAGGACAGACAGGGAGGAGAGACGGGGAGGAGAGACAGGGAGGAGAGACGGGGAGGACAGACAGGGAGGAGAGACGGGGAGGACATGTCTTCCTCTCTTCCAGTCTCTTTGCTCCAGTTCTTCCTGATGTCCCTCGGTCTCGTTCCTCAGCTGAGCTTCATTTGTCTGAAAAAGGTTTGAGGCTGAAATGCAGGAAGAGCAGCTTGAACCAATCAGATCCAAGCTGCTTCTGACCTGTGATCTGATTGGCTGATCATTGAGCTGCTCTGACCTTCTTCTTCTTTTGTCCCAGATGTTGATGCAGCTGCAGCTCAAATTGAATCCAGCAAGTTGGAGGCGCTGATGGAGGAGCAGAGGTGAGTTTGACCCCTGACCCTATCAGTATAAACTCCCAGCATGCCATCCTGTCTCCTCCATGTCTGTTCAGTTTCCTGCGGCTTCTCTATGCATCTGCAAATATTCAATGTTCAGTTGGGAATGTTCTGGATTGATCAGGAAAACTCTGAGTCTGTGGGAAGATGATCGGATCAGCTGCTCTTAGATTGGATCTGATTTCCTCTGCAGGAGGAAACCTGGTTCTGTAGTTCAGACTGAGTTTCAGAGGCAGATCAGACAGAAAACCAGAGATTCAGATTTAAACTGCAGACTCAACTGAGATCCTGACATTGGTTTGTTCATTTGGATTCTCCAGGATTTCCTCACCAGTTTCCTTTCAGAGTCAAAACCAGCTACATTTTCTGACGGACTGAACCTTTATCTTTCTAGGGTAGAGCTGACCTCTGACCTCACCTGTCTGTAGAGCAAAGACTGTTAGGAGGACATGGTAAGGTGATGCTTCTGCTGACCCTGTAACCCCTTTCTTTGATGCCCCGGTAGCCCCGCCCCCTGATGGCCCAGTAGCCCCGCCCCCTGATGGCCCAGTAGCTCCGCCCCCTGATGACCCGTAGCTCCGCCCCCTGGTGCCTCGGTAGCCCCGCCCCCTGGTGCCCCAGTAGCCCCGCCTCCTGATGGCCCGGTAGCTCCGCCCCCTGATGCCTAAAGCTCAGTTGCTTCAAGCAGACATAGACGGAGCTCATGGAGCCAAATGTTTGCATGAAGGTGACAGAAAGGCATCCTGCTGGTGGGACCAGAACCAGAACTTCAGGAAGAACCCACCAGCCTCATGATCTTGTTGTACAGAATCTCAGATTAAAGTGCAGTTTGGATCCTCCTACTGACTGAAAGCTGAACTGTAATATTTGGAGCAGTTTGACCTCCGACCTGCAGCTCCTGTCTGGGCGTCCCCAAAGACATGCAGCAGATAGTTGAAGTTTTTCTGTTGGTGCAGACTGCCTCCTGCTGGCCAATTTCAGCTGCTACACTTAAACAAACATACTTGTGATAACTTTCTTATCACAAGTATAAGAAAGTGATAACTTTCACAAGTTATCACTTGTTGGAGTTTTTTAAAAGTTTTATTTTGGCATTTGGGTCAAAGTGACTGCAGCTGTGTGCACAGGAAATGATGTGACTGATCAGAAGGTAATGATGAACTGATCGATTGGTTCATCATTACCGATCGATTGGTAATAGACCTTCTCAGCCCCCCCTGAGAAGGTCATGCAGGTGAAAAATAGGAACAGACGGTTCATTTATCAGCAGATTACATCAAGTTATAAAAAATATTTTTTGGAAGTCATTTATGTTTTTTATCTGGATTTGGACTATTTTGCATTGCTGAATCCAAAAATGACATAAATTTTTCTCAATCAGGTTTTTATTCCAATCCGACTTTCTGACTAAAGTGATTACATTTTTTCTGAAATTATCACTTTATTTCTGTTAATATTTCTCATTCAAAAAGATTTTAGGAGAAAATGTTTTCTGTCAGTGTATTAGTTAAATGTTATAAAGTTGGATTTCTGTAAAATGCTTAATAAACACTGATAAGCAAACGGAGCTTTTTTTTGCTCCTGCCCATTTTGTCCTGGATGCCCTTTGAGTTTTTTGATCTGCCAGGCCTGCTTGAGCCCCTCAGCTATGATATTTAGCTAAATGTAAAAATGTAGCTAAATAAACTAGTCTGGCTGCCCTCAGTCTAATAATGACTCAATTTCTGCCTCCATGTTGTTTTTATATTTTTATCAGATGCTATCGCTCCTGTTGTTGGTGAACTGGGCCCAAAACAGAGGCTGACATAACAGACCTCAACTTACATGCAGGTTAACACAAAGTTTGTTTTAAAGGAACATGCAAAGACCTGGGGGTCAGAGGTTTTAACAGGATAAGCCAATTTATTAGGGAGAGCATTCTTAAATCAATAACTCAATAAATAAATAAATAGCTTTTAGGTCTTTAAGTTTCTGCTCCTCAAATAACAACAATTCCTATCTGAATGAATTCTTCTTCTGTCTCTTACAGCTGATTCCAGATGAAGTCCTGAAGAGATGAAGATCAGCAGTTTTTTGAGGCTTCGTTCATGTTTTTGTGGCTTTAGCAGCTCTGAGGTGGAGCAGATGGATGGATGATGGATGATGGATGGATGGATGGATGGATGGATGGATGATGGATGGATGGATGGATGGATGATGGATGGAAGGATGGATGGATGGATGGACGATGGATGGATGGATGGATGGATGGATGGATGGATGGATGGATGGATGGATGATGGATGGATGGATGGATGGATGGATGGATGATGGATGGATGGATGGATGGATGGATGGATGATGGATGGATGGATGGATGGATGGATGGATGGATGGATGGATGGATGGATGGATGGATGGATGGATGATGGATGGATGATGGATGGATGGATGATGGATGGATGGATGGATGGATGGATGGATGGATGGATGGATGGATGGAAGGATGAATGGATGGATGATGGATGGATGATGGATGGATGATGGGATGGATGGATGGATGGATGGATGGATGGATGGATGGATGGATGGATGGATGGATGGATGGATGATGGATGGATGATGGATGGATGGATGGATAGATGGATGATGGATGGATGGATGATGGATGATGGATGGATGATGGATGGATGAATGATGGATGGATGAATGATGGATGGATGATGGATGGATGATGGATGGATGATGGATGGATGGATGATGGATGGATGGATGGATGGATGGATGGATGGATGGATGGATGGATGATGGATGGATGGATGGATGATGGATGGATGATGGATGGATGGATGATGGATGGATGGATGGATGGATGATGGATGGATGGATGGATGATGGATGGATGATGGATGGATGGATGGATGGATGGATGGATGATGGATGGATGGATGGATGGATGGATGGATGGATGGATGGATGGATGGATGGATGGATGGATGATGGATGGATGGATGGATGGATGGATGGATGGATGGATGGATGATGGATGGATGGATGGATGGATGGATGGATGGATGGATGGATGGATGGAAGGATGAATGGATGGATGATGGATGGATGATGGATGGATGATGGATGGATGGATGGATGGATGGATGGATGGATGGATGATGGATGGATGATGGATGGATGATGGATGGATGGATGGATAGATGGATGGATAGATGGATGATGGATGGATGGATGATGGATGGATGATGGATGATGGATGGATGATGGATGGATGATGGATGGATGGATGGATGATGGATGGATGATGGATGGATGATGGATGGATGGATGGATGGATGGATGGATGGATGGATGGATGGATGGATGGATGGATGATGGATGGATGGATGGATGATGGATGGATGATGGATGGATGATGATGGATGGATGGATGATGGATGGATGGATGGATGGATGGATGGATGATGATGGATGGATGGATGGATGGATGATGGATGGATGATGGATGATGGGATGATGGATGGATGATGGATGGATGGATGGATGGATGATGGATGATGGATGGATGGATGAATGATGGATGGATGATGGATGGATGATGGATGGATGATGGATGGATGGATGATGGATGGATGGATGATGGATGGATGGATGGATGGATGGATGGATGGATGGATGGATGATGGATGGATGATGGATGGATGGATGATGATGGATGGATGGATGGATGGATGGATGGATGATGGATGGATGGATGGATGGATGGATGATGGATGGATGATGGATGGATGGATGGATGGATGGATGGATGATGGATGGATGATGGATGGATGATGGATGGATGGATGATGGATGGATGATGGATGGATGGATGGATGGATGATGGATGGATGGATGATGGATGGATGGGATGGATGGATGGATGATGGATGGATGATGGATGGATGATGGATGGATGATGGATGGATGGATGATGGATGGATGGATGTGGATGGATGGATGATGGATGGATGGATGGATGATGGATGGATGATGGATGGATGGATGATGGATGGATGGATGATGGATGGATGGATGATGGATGGATGGATGGATGGATGGATGGATGTGGATGATGGATGGATGGATGATGGATGATGGATGGATGATGGATGGATGATGGATGGATGGGATGGATGGATGGATGGATGGATGGATGGATGATGGATGGATGATGGATGGATGATGGATGGATGGATGGATGATGGATGATGGATGGATGGTGATGGATGATGATGATGGATGGATGGATGGATGGATGGTTTTGTAGTAAACATGTTTCCCACCAGTGTGCCTTCAGGAGTTTTTGTGCGTGTTGAAGCTTTGCGCAGAAACGAAGGAGTGTGTTTTTACTCAGCCTGGTTTTAATCTGTTTCCTAATGATAAACTGTTTCTGTTGATGCTGCAGTTTTACTTTATCTGCTCTGAGCTTGTTTTGATTTAAAACAGGGAATAAAAATGAGAAATAAGTTTTGTTCTTGACATTAATTTCAAGATGTGAAAGATTTTAGTTCATCTAGTTAAAAGTTTCAACAGTTTTAGCTTTTCCAGCTAAGACAGAGAGAACATGTTCAAGATGGCTACATATAATTGATGGCTCAGCTCTCATTGTCATTCTGGGACATTAACTTGATCAGAGATCAGCAGCGCAGTCTTTTCTCGCTGCTCCAGGTTTTTCATCCAACACCAGAAACTCCCAGCAGAGAAACTGCTGTCTGGAAACTTCTCTTCATCTTTGATGGCCTGGATGAAAGCAGACTTTGACTGGACTTCACTGCAACTATCAGGAGGTTCCATCCATCCATCCATCATCCATCCATCCATCATCCATCCATCCATCCATCATCCATCCATCCATCATTCATCCATCCATCATTCATCCATCCATCATCCATCCATCATTCATCCATCATCCATCCATCCATCATCCATCCATCATTCATCCATCCATCATCCATCCATCATTCATCCATCCATCATCCATCCATCATCCATCCATCCATCATTCATCCATCCATCATCCATCATTCATCCATCCATCATCCATCCATCATTCATCCATCATCCATCCATCCATCATCCATCCATCATCCATCCATCCATCATCCATCCATCCATCATTCATCAATCCATCATCCATCCATCATCCATCCATCCATCATTCATCCATCCATCATCCATCATTCATCCATCCATCATCCATCCATCATTCATCCATCATCCATCCATCCATCATCCATCCATCATTCATCCATCCATCATCCATCCATCCATCCATCATTCATCCATCCATCCATCATTCATCCATCCATCATCCATCCATCATCCATCCATCATTCATCCATCCATCATTCATCCATCCATCATCCATCCATCAATCATCCATCCATCATCCATCCATCATTCATCCATCCATCCATCCATCATTCATCCATCCATCCAGGGTTCTGGAAAGTTTTAGTTGCTACAATTCCAAAATAAATTCTTGTGATAATGTTTCCATCTTGTTGTTTTTTTTATGGAGTTTGGGTCAATAATCATCCACTCAGATTGAAGGATTCTGAAAGATCTAATCACGCTTACATTCATACTTTGATGTGCTGATCTATTGGCAACTTGGGATTAAGTGCCTTGCCCATTGGCACATCAACATGTGACAAGAATAGAACACACACATTTTGGATTGCAAGGCAGTGTAATCCCAGCCAGAAGTGTTGAGTTTATTGTTTCTGAAGAGGTGTCTGTACTCTGGTGGCCATATTGTTTTCAGTGCATCTGTTGCTCAGAAATAAATTAATAAATCTCACCTAGATTAAATATTAGCCATTTTCATGGCACTGAAAGAATTAATTCACAAATTATTTCCCGTTCAAAAGGGCGTCCTTTTTCACTGGGACGCCAGGTGAGCCTTAGATAAACATGTTCATGTTTAGGTGATTTATGTGTTTAAAAGCATTTTTCAGCATTACAGAAAGTAAGTTGCTCACATACATGAACCCATGTGTCTGGTTTTCTTTGAACTAAGTATTGATCTCAGTGATCATTTTAATTTCTGCTAAAACTGAATCCAAATGTGAAGTCTGCAGCTCTTTTCTTCTTTTCCTCAGATCCAATTTTACAATCAGATCAACATCCTGCCATGACCTCTGACTGCTGAGATAAAACAAACACTGGCATAATATTTGATGTGACACCGGATTTTGGTCTTTTATTATCCTTGTATGACAGGTTATTAAATAAACTCTCATGTCCTGCTGTTTCATTCAATCTGATCTGTCAGAGCCAGACATTGTTTATTACTGTTTTGATATATTTTATCTTTAATGCCTCCTTTACAAGGTGGAAACAGTCCAGAGTTCATCTCATGTGGGATGCAGGAAGCAGGAAGAGTAAAGTCGGGTAGTTCCTCGCCGCTGACTCATTCATGAACCTGTAAGCTGTAGAGAAGGACATAAAATCTGTTTGTCATATTTGTTGTTTTCCACATTGTCGTCTGTTTTGGTTCCAATCTGGACTGACTGAAGATGAGTCTTTGTAAGGGACAGGAGAACAGAACCGGGTCTTCAGCGCAGAGAGACGATTCCAACATTCAGTCTGGACCTTTGTCAGGTTTAAACCCCTAACATTAGTAAAACACTACCTCGCGAGGAGAGTGCCCCAGAGACGTACATCAGTTACAATCTCCAACACACTCTGAGTACGTCTCTGTTCTCAACGCCTTTTATTTCCTGAGGTCACCCTGGTTACACAAGGACACTGTAGCTCTAAAAGGCGTTGGGTAAATAATTCATCACACAGCTACAGTGCTAGTTCTCATTTCCTAACTAAGTGTTAGATACAAATACAAAGACCAGGAGAATACAATGCCCCTGGGATCGATCTGCGTTTCTTTTATCTTTGAAGCGATGATTCTGTCACCTCAGATGGCGACATCCAGCCTGACAGGAAGAATGGGTCGTTTACATACAACCCAAAGTCTCAGGAACTGAACTTTACGACCAGAGAGACAACAAACAAACTGTAACCTCAGGAGATGCAAAGACAGTACCTTGAGAATGTGTATTGTGTTTGTCACTCCTTCTATGCAACACAATTATCTTGTACATGATAATCTCGTTCTGGACACATCAAACAGAATAAGTAGTCAATCTTCACAGTAACAGTTTTACAGCAATCCAGCAACAAAACAGAAACATTCTTAATCCTATAATGAGATTAACTTAAAGGAAAATATAAAATAAAGATACATTATAAAGATCAATGAGAATAACAAATATTTGATTAATTATATCACAATTTCTCCAACAACCTTCAGACACCAAGTGAGAAACTTTCTGCTGTAAACCAAGCTGGAGATATTTCATCTTCATTTCTTCATCATTGACACACATGAGCTTCAGTACTAAAGTTATTCACCATTTCTAAAAGACAGAGTTTAGAATAACATGAGGCGTTTGGGGTGTTTCGTTCTCTAACTGGTCTAATCCAGCTCAGAGACAATATCTGTACTGTACTTCCAGTTAAACATTGCATTCATACATTTCAATAGTACTGAGATCTGTGATCATATTTTATTGCTTGAAACCAAGTTTTGTCATGTTCCAGTTTTTGTGTGTGTAATTTTTCTGTAAAGTAGACTAAGAGTCGACTACTGTTACTATTTACTGGGTTTCATTGTCGTTTTGCTCTGTGTGTTCAGAGGGAAAAGCAGCAGCCATGTTCCTCAGGTGTGTGGAGGTTCCTCCATCTTCTCAGTGTTAAGTGTTCTTTTCTTTAGTGTTAGTATTTAGTTAATGTTTTATATTGATAATATTTATATTGGTTATATCACTTTTTCTTTGGTGGGTTTTGGTATTAAGTTGTTTACTAGATTGGGTGCACACATTTTAGTAAACGCTTGGTTTATTTAGAATATTAATTATTTTGCTTTTGGTTGAGTTGAAGGACTGGCTGGGAGGAGTTGATTGTCTCAAACCAGTAATTGGAACCAACCATCAGGCTGCGGGAAGCAGGAAATTAGATGTGGAAGATTCCTCCTCTCGCCCTATTGACATCTTCCTCTCACTCTATTGTTATAATATTTATGGTGTTAGGTTGTTTTGTTTTATAGTTGTGTTAAAGTAAAATGTTGTGATTTGAATTTATTTATGTTTATGTATTGGTTGTTTTTGTTTGTTCCCCCACCCCTCCTTGTGTGTGTGTGTGTGTGTGTAGGCTAGCCTTTGTATATAAATTCCCCTGTGTTCATTGAGAAGAGTCAGTTAGTTTGTTTGAGTTGGTATGCTTTAGTTGATTATTTTTTGGGCCCATTTTTCTTATATTTCTTTTTGAAATTTGTTGTAAAAAAATCTTTAACTCTTTGAAAAATTAAATAGTTATTTTTTTTATGCCTTTGTCCTTGAGTTTGCTGGTCGGACCATCACAGTTGGTGTCAGAAGTGGGATCCTCCAGTTAAGGACAAAGGTATATTTCTTAATTTTTTTCTTTTTTTTTTGGAAACTAAAAAAAACCCTAAACCATGAGAGGAGCCAGAGGTGGAGGTGGTAAAACCAAGGCAGCTCCATCAGACAAAGAAGCGCAAACAGAGCATGAAGGGTGTGGTGCAGTTTGTGAAGAGGAGGAAGTGGATGAAGAAGGGAAAGAGCCAACCATATCTGACTTGGCAGGAATCCTGCAGGCCTACATTGGGCAGCAAAAAGATCGAGAGGCACAGTGGGAGCAAGAAATGTCACGTCAGGATTACAGGTTTAAGGCTCTCCAACACCAGTTCAGTTTATTTCAAGAGGAGTTTCAGGCCCAGTCTTCTGCAGGCCTGAGGCCTATTGTGCAAGACCACGCCTCCTCATCTGTTGGATTGAAGCCTGATGTGGATAGTTCACTTCCAGAACCTGCTCTGTCGGCTGTTAAATCAGGTGATTCAATTTCTACACATTTCTATAAAGAACCAAAACTGCAAAAGCTAAGTGAGGAGGATGATATTGAGCATTTCCTCATAACTTTTGAGAGGATAGCATGTGTTTGCAGATGGCCAAAAAGTGACTGGCCATTTCAATTGATTCCACTATTGACTGGTAAAGCCAGGAGTGCATATGTACATATGGATATGGAGGAATCGATGAACTATGATAATGTTAAAGCTGCTATTTTACAGAAATATGAAATTAACAGCGAGACTTATCGTCAGAGGTTCCGTTCTCTTCATGTGGAACCGAATGAGTCTCCCAAGGAACTTTATGTGAGACTTAAAGAACTGTATGGCAAATGGGTTCAACCCCGAGGTAAGACTATTGAAGAGATAAATGACGTCATAATTCTTGAACAGTATTTCCGAATGTTGTCCCCAGAACTCCAAGTTTGGATTAAGGAACGAAACCCCAAAAATGCAGCCGAGGCAGTTTCCCTCGCGGATGCCTTTGTGGCCGCCCGTAGGAAGACTCAACCGTGGGCTTTTAGAACTGCAAAAAGGGAGTTTACTCCAACTTCAGGTAACTCCAGTCGAACTGAAAATGTGAGTAAGCAGTTTGGAAAAGAAAAAGGTTTTTCCCCCGGTCAAACAAAAACTTTGAAAAAACCCATCTGCTATCTATGTGGCCAGGAGGGCCACACAAAGCCTATGTGTCCTCAAAATCCTGCAAACCTCTCTCAGATGTGTTTTGTTCCCAGAGAGAACCATGTTTTGAACAGACAAAACCAGCCACTGATGGAGACAACAGTGGGGATAGAGGGGCAAAAGGTCAAAGCCCTGATTGACACAGGAAGCACCCAGACATTGGTACACCGCAGGTATGTCCCACCGCATATTATTTGCACCTCTGAAACCATACCCATCTGCTGTGTCCATGGGGATGAAAAACAATATCCAACAGCAGATATTTACATGAGAGTGCAAGGACATGTTTACCTGTTAAAGGTGGGTGTTATGGATGCATTACCCTTTCCTGTTGTCTTGGGAAATGATCTTCCAATTCTCCCTGACCTAGTGAATGGTTTTAAAATGTGTAATGTTGTATTGACACGATCCCAAGCAAAGACTTTTGGGGAAGATGAGTCCAGTCTAAGAGCCTTGCCATTTTTTGGGGCTGAGATTGAAGAAGGTCAAACTAAAAACGCAAGTCTCGTGCACAGCGCAAGCGAGAAAAATTCAAACATACCACAGCCCTTCCTGTGTTACCTGAACCTGAGGTGCAGTTAGACTTTGAAATTCCTGATAATATTAGTGAGCTGCAGCACCAGGATGGAAGTCTGACTGACCTTATTAAGAGGGTTGAAGCAGCAGGTGGAGCTGCAGAGGAATTTCATATGCAAAATGGCATCCTCTATAGGAGACATGGAGATGTACAACAACTGGTGTTGCCCAGAAAGGTCAGAAAAACAGTATTAATTTTGGGCCATGCAATTCCCTGGGCTGGCCACCTGGGGAAACATAAAACCATAGCCCGAATCCAACGGTGTTTCTACTGGCCTGGATTACACAAAGATGTTGCCAGCTTTTGCAGGAGTTGTCCTCAATGTCAGAAAACATCCACCAGATTTGCAGCGAGAGCTCCTCTTCAACCCCTTCCTATTATAAATACACCATTTGACCGTTTGGGCATGGATGTTGTGGGTCCAGTGGAGAAGAGCAAATCAGGGACTGAGAACCACCCCATATCACCCGCTGGTACCTGGCAATGCAACCATTCCAGTTTGACGTTCATCACATCCCGGGGAAGCTGAACACGACTGCCGACTACCTGTCACGCTGGCCCATGGAGTTTCCAGAAGAGGGGGAGTGTGTGGAGGTTCCTCCATCTTCTCAGTGTTAAGTGTTCTTTTCTTTAGTGTTAGTATTTAGTTAATGTTTTATATTGATAATATTTATATTGGTTATATCACTTTTTCTTTGGTGGGTTTTGGTATTAAGTTGTTTACTACATTGGGTGCACACATTTTAGTAAACGCTTGGTTTATTTAGAATATTAATTATTTTGCTTTTGGTTGAGTTGAAGGACTGGCTGGGAGGAGTTGATTGTCTCAAACCAGTAATTGGAACCAACCATCAGGCTGCGGGAAGCAGGGAATTTGATGTGGAAGACTCCTCCTCTCGCCCTATTGACATCTTCCTCTCACTCTATTGTTATAATATTTATGGTGTTAGGTTGTTTTGTTTTATAGTTGTGTTAAAGTAAAATGTTGTGATTTGAATTTATTTATGTTTATGTATTGGTTGTTTTGTTTGTTCCCCCACCCCTCCTTGTGTGTGTGTGTGTGTGTAGGCTAGCCTTTGTATATAAATTCCCCTGTGTGTTCATTGAGAAGAGTCAGTTAGTTTGTTTGAGTTGGTATGCTTTAGTTGATTATTTTTTGGGCCCATTTTTCTTATATTTCTTTTTGAAATTTGTTGTAAAAAAATCTTTAACTCTTTGAAAAATTAAATAGTTATTTTTTTTATGCCTTTGTCCTTGAGTTTGCTGGTCGGACCATCACAGGTGGATGACACGTCCTGCTGCGCTGCATGTCAGAACCTCCTGATGGATCCGGTTTGGGCCAGCTGCAGACACTGGTTCTGCAGACAGTGCATGATCGCTTACTGGGACGAGTCAACTCCAAACCCCCCCCCCCGTCTCCAGTGTGGAGAAATGTTCACACCTCTAACTGGACCTCAGGCAGCCAATAAGAGAAGCTCTGTAGAAGGTAAGGCTGACTCCATGGACTGTTAGATTTTAAATGTCTTAAGACATGTCGTCTTGTCCGCATGTCGTCTTGTCCACATGTCGTCTTGTCCGCATGTCGTCTTGTCCGCATGTCGTCTTGTCCGCATGTCGTCTTGTCCACATGTCATCTTGTCCGCATGTCGTCTTGTCCTCATGTCATCTTGTCCGCATGTCGTCTTGTCCACATGTCATCTTGTCCTCATGTCATCTTGTCCACATGTCGTCTTGTCCGCATGTCGTCTTGTCCGCATGTCGTCTTGTCCACATGTCGTCTTGTCCACATGTCATCTTGTCCTCATGTCATCTTGTCCGCATGTCATCTTGTCCACATGTCGTCTTGTCCGCATGTCGTCTTGTCCGCATGTCGTCTTGTCCGCATGTCGTCTTGTCCACATGTCGTCTTGTCCTCATGTCGTCTTGTCCACATGTCATCTTGTCCTCATGTCATCTTGTCCGCATGTCATCTTGTCCACATGTCATCTTGTCCACATGTCGTCTTGTCCGCATGTCGTCTTGTCCTCATGTCATCTTGTCCACATGTCGTCTTGTCCACATGTCATCTTGTCCGCATGTCGTCTTGTCCGCATGTCGTCTTGTCCACATGTCGTCTTGTCCACATGTCATCTTGTCCTCATGTCATCTTGTCCGCATGTCATCTTGTCCACATGTCATCTTGTCCACATGTCGTCTTGTCCGCATGTCGTCTTGTCCGCATGTCGTCTTGTCCGCATGTCGTCTTGTCCTCATGTCATCTTGTCCGCATGTCATCTTGTCCACATGTCATCTTGTCCACATGTCATCTTGTCCGCATGTCGTCTTGTCCGCATGTCATCTTGTCCTCATGTCATCTTGTCCACATGTCGTCTTGTCCGCATGTCGTCTTGTCCGCATGTCGTCTTGTCCACATGTCGGCTTGTCCACATGTCGTCTTGTCCACATGTCGTCTTGTCCACATGTCGTCTTGTCCTCATGTCGTCTTGTCCTCATGTCGTCTTGTCCTCATGTCGTCTTGTCCTCATGTCGTCTTGTCCTCATGTCGTCTTGTCCTCATGTCGTCTTGTCCACATGTCGTCTTGTCCACATGTCGTCTTGTCCTCATGTCGTCTTGTCCGCATGTCGTCTTGTCCTCATGTCGTCTTGTCCACATGTCGTCTTGTCCACATGTCATCTTGTCCACATGTCGTCTTGTCCTCATGTCGTCTCAGGGCACTTTACAAAAATCAGTCATTTCAATCCAATCATCCATCAGTTATCAAACAGTTCAGTTCGTCATTCTTTCCTGTTTTAAAGGGTTTGTTTCTGAGGAAACTAAACCGGCAGCATTTCCTCATAGATCAGAATGTCTCATATAAGAGTTTTAATAACATGCATCATTTTATCTGTGACACCAAAGACTCTCAGAGACTCACTGGCTCTGATGCCCGGCAGGAGCTGCAGCGGCCCGGCAGGAGCTGCAGCGGCCCGGCAGGAGCTGCAGCGGCCCGGCAGGAGCTGCAGCGGCCCGGCAGGAGCTGCAGCGGCCCGGCAGGAGCTGCAGCGGCCCGGCAGGAGCTGCAGCGGCCCGGCAGGAGCTGCAGCGGCCCGGCAGGAGCTGCAGCGGCCCGGCAGGAGCTGCAGCGGCCCGGCAGGAGCTGCAGCAGCCCGGCAGGAGCTGCAGCGGCCCGGCAGGCTGCAGCGGCCCGGCAGGAGCTGCAGCGGCCCGGCAGGAGCTGCAGCGGCCCGGCAGGAGCTGCAGCGGCCCGGCAGGAGCTGCAGCAGCCCGGCAGGTGTCCCACGTTGTTACAGGAATAAATTGACGCAGCAGATCCACTTCGCTGTCAACTGCTTCACCTTCACATAAAATAAATGAAGAGAATGGATTCAGCTATTTCTCATTCCTCATCTTTCCTCTGCAGATGGAAATGATGATCCTGTAGAGATGGAAAGGAGGGGATCTGAGGAGACAGTCGACTGACAGAAAGACTTTAGTTTGTGTGTGTATGTGTGAATCCTGGTGATGGGTCGGGTTGGGGGTAAACTGTGGACATGAATGGAAGTCAACATAAAGTTCCCACAAAACCCAAAAACATGTCAGTGTGTGTGGCGGTGATCGCTGCATCTCTGATAACGTGTCATAGAGTTTCATAGATGCTGCCGGTTCAGATTGTTCTTCTGATCCTGAGGTTGAAACGCTGAAGGTTAAGAAACGTTGAAGCTCCAAACCTGATGGAGTTGATCCATTAAAGTTAAAACCAAATCCTTGAAACTCAATTTTTATAATATCTCAGAAGAAAAAACCTTACAGTCCATTAAAATAAACTTATTTAATTATTTCATCATAATGAAAATCTCACAGGAAATTCTTTTTTCATATTTGATTCCAGACTGCCTGAAAGTCTTTAAGAAGTTGTGTTCAAAAGTTTTGCAATGTGGCTCAAAGTTACTGAGTTCAAGGATTTCAGGGACCATTTTCAATTCTTATTCAATTAAAACTGGACCATTTTAATGCAACAAAAAGAATAAGTTATTGTAGCTCCAAAAACTGTCTCAGACATTTGCTTTAAAAGGTTCACAGTCTCCTGAGCTTTTTTGGTCTAAAAGTATTTTAATTTATTTCCAGCAGCAAAAGAGAGAACATTTTTCAATGAGCTTTACATCCAAGTCTGTTTCTGCTTAAAAAATTGCTTTTTTTGGGCGTAAAAACACGGCTATTCCAAGAAAAATAAGAACCGAGTTCCCACACAAATCCATTCTAAGGGCTGTGATGCATTTCCTACTGATGGGGTCTGAGTGCAGAGCAGTGGCGGAGCTAGACTTTTTTTCAAGCGGTGGCCAAAGGCTGAGCAAGGCTTTATCAGAGGGTCCATATACAAATGATGAACAAAAGGAAACAAAATTTTCTCTCACACTCAAATTAAAATGGTTTATTAACGAAGATTTGCCATGACCAAACAAGACGTTAAACGGCTCTATGGACCAGTGAACATGTAAATGTAAACTCAGAGCCCAGAATATGACCAAAAACAAATTCTCAAAAATAAATAAATTAATAAATAAACTGGTGCTTCTGGTGTGCAATAGGTTGTGCTGGGTGGGGGCAGTTCAGTGCCATTTCCTTCTGCTTCACTGTCTTCCTCCCCAGAGTCTGAATCTGAATCTGTATCACCCTCATCTCTCTCTGGAACTTAACTGGAAATGCATAAACAGACACAATAAAAATGCAAAAAGCATCATGCTAACCTTTAGAATTAGGCTTATTGGATTTTACTACTTAATAACTCTCTATCAGCCTCTAACCCGCTGGTGATCCACTTGGGCCTGGAGTCCTGGCTGGATTCTCCAGGTTGGTCGGTGCTGCAGGGTTCTGTCTGGTCCTGGTCACTGCTGCATGGTTCTGTCTGGTCCTGGTCACTGCTGCATGGTTCTGTCTGGTCCTGGTCACTGCTGCAGGGTTCTGTCTGGTCCTGGTCACTGCTACAGGGTTCTGTCTGGTCCTGGTCACTGCTGCATGGTTCTGTCTGGTCCTGGTCACTGCTGCAGGGTTCTGTCTGGTCCTGGTCACTGCTACAGGGTTCTGTCTGGTCCTGGTCACTGCTGCAGGGTTCTGTCTGGTCCTGGTCACTGCTGCAGGGTTCTGTCTGGTCCTGGTCACTGCTGCAGGGTTCTGTCTGGTCCTGGTCACTGCTGCAGGGTTCTGTCTGGTCCTGGTCACTGCTGCAGGGTTCTGTCTGGTCCTGGTCACTGCTGCAGGGTTCTGTCTGGTCCTGGTCACTGCTGCAGGGTTCTGTCTGGTCCTGGTCACTGCTGCAGGGTTCTGTCTGGTCCTGGTCACTGCTGCAGGGTTCTGTCTGGTCCTGGTCACTGCTGCAGGGTTCTGTCTGGTCCTGGTCACTGCTGCAGGGTTCTGTCTGGTCCTGGTCACTGCTGCAGGGTTCTGTCTGGTCCTGGTCACTGCTGCAGGGTTCTGTCTGGTCCTGGTCACTGCTGCAGGGTTCTGTCTGGTCCTGGTCACTGCTGCAAGGTTCTGTCTGGTCCTGGGTCACTGCTGCAAGGTTCTGTCTGGTCCTGGTCACTGCTGCAGGGTTCTGTATGGTCCTGGTCACTGCTGCAAGGTTCTGTCTGGTCCTGGTCACTGCTGCAGGGTTCTGTCTGGTCCTGGTCACTGCTGCAGGGTTCTGTCTGGTCCTGGTTTTTGCCTCTTTAAGAAGAACTGGAAGATCTTCCCTTTTCTCTTCATTTGGGCTCTACACAAAATAAGACAGCCTGGTATTTAGACTCCATGACTGTTTGGCAGAGACAACATTTTAACTATTATTTAAACTATAGTTTTTAGTTTCCTGTAGCTAACTAAAATAATACTAAATTAAAAATACATTAAAATTAATTAATATAACTAGTTAGGTTATAATTCAAAGCTTTCATATGACATAGCCTACTTACATTTCAGTCATTATAAAACTTAATGGTTTTTCTCATATCTTACCGCACATTTCAAGCAAGAGCTGGGAGATATAAAACATTAGAGGGCAGCATGTCACTAAAACATGTTAAAAGAATCTGTCTAAAACACGATCTATTAGCACTAGCATGGCTAATATAATAAACGAGGCACTACGCAGCGGTACACAACCATTTTGTTTCTTTTTAGAAATGTATGACAAGAGCCGCCTCTCATTAGGAAGGAAACAGCGGTTACTGCTGAGCGGTAAAATGTTGGAAATACCTGCAAAACTCCTGACGGTGTAACTCTAAAGCCGTTGATGTGTTTTGGATCAAGCAGAACTATGTCAGTTTAACCAATGAACAGCGTCGGGCATCGGGCTGCCTTCAGGGACAGTCGGAAATTACAGTTTTCCTGGCAAATCTTTGCCGATCTCATAAGTATTATATTTTAAAATTACAATTTCCAGTGGGGTGGCAGTAGGGGGGGCAAGGGGTCTGTTGGGGGTGGGAAGTGCCACCCGGCCACCCCTCTGGCTCCGCCACTTGTGCAGGGATCCCTCCCAACACAGATGAGCCCCGGTTCCGGGTGGGTCCAGCATCCCTCGCCGCTGAGGATTATCTCCTAATGTGTGTCCTGCTTCCTTGGGGAAAAAGCAGCTCAACAGGCCGAGAGGCAGCAACTAAAACTGTGTTTAAGTGTTTCCTCCTGTTCTTGGTGAAATCAGACGCTCTTCCCTTCCTGCTCCTCTTGCTCTGGTTTGTCTTTCTCTATGTTTTTGGAGCCTTTCTTTGCACATCCTCCGGATCGACAAATTATTGAACTGAGCGGTAAAAATACCGCTGTGTGTAAAAATACGGTCTCTCAATCCAATGGATGAAATCTTCTGGACAAGAACAGGCAGCATGAGGCTCCTTCCCACCTCCTGTTCTCCATGCAGCTGTGGAGCCCAGGGATCCCAATGACATAATTCCTGGATAACATCTGGGAGTTTTTGCTGCGTGGTTTCATGGCCCTTTGATGCCTTCACTCACGTCTTTGTTTTGTCTGAATGTTGCCTTGTGTCCTTTCTTCTTTTTATTTTGTTCCCCTTTCTGTGACCATTTGGTTTTTCCACTAATTTAGGTTTCTGTGTTCAGGTGTCCACAGCTGTCCCTCGTTTCTCCTGATTGTCTTCCCTGTGTCTTTATTCCCACCTGTTTCTTGTTCCCTTGTCGTAAGTTGTCTTTGCTGTGGCGTCGTTTCCTGTTGCCCAGTTGTTACCAGAGTCTGAGTTTCCATCCTTCTGCTGTATTCATCATTAAATCATCACTTTTCTCACCATAACCAGGGTCCACCGCGTCAACCTCACATCATGACACTTTTTTATTTAGAAACTGTGGAGTACTCACTTTCAACCCAGAAAAGGAATTAGATTAGTAACTCTTTAGCCTTTGTTTTAAATAAAATGTAGAGTACTCACTATTTAGAGCAGGGGTGTCAAACTCCAGTCCTTAAGCCGCCGTCCTGCAGATGTACCTCAGATACAAAACACAGGAATGAAATGGCTTAATGACCTCATTATTGTATTCAGGTGATGCAGCAGAGGCTCAGCTAGAGGTTGCAGGACGCCGACCCTGCAGGACTGGATGTTGACACCCTGATTTAGACCAAGATTATATTTCTTCATTCTTAGATTATTTTGCAGACTCCTATTACTGCAACTAAGAAAAGGAATTAGAACAAACATAGAATCCAGAAAAAGTTCAGTTTTTATTATTACTTAGAAACTGTGGAGTACTCATTAACTTTTACAAGTTTAGAGCGTACTCACAAAGTCCAGAGATACTTATTTATACGTATCTACAATCTCAGAACAGAAGCATCTAGTTCACGCACTTTAGATCAACATTACACACTTTTTCTTCTTTCGTCTGTATTTCTTTTTTATTCCTGTGAAGCACTTTGTGTTGCCTTGTTGCTGAAAATGTGCTAAAGAATTAAAATGACCTTTACCTCAGTGGCGACCCCTTGTTGTGGGAGCTGGTACTGCAAAAATAAATGCCCCACAGGAAGTATCATTTAACCAATGAATAAACCTGCAAGTGTCTGTGAGTGTGTGTGTCTGTGTGTGTGAGTGTGTGTGTGAGAGTGTGTGTGAGTGTGTGTGTCTGTGTGTGTGTGAGAGTGTGTGAGAGTGTGTGTGAGTGTGTGTGTCTGTGTGTGTGTGTGTGTGTGTGTGTGTGTGTCTGTCTGTGTGTGTGTGTGTTGAGATGTCCTATATCGCTATTATTATTGATTGATCCTAAAGTTCATCTTATTCTGATGAAAGTTGTGTTAAATAATTATTTGGAAGCTTATCCTTAAAATTATTTTATGAAAATGTCTTTAGAATAAATCTGTAAATGAAACTGAAATCTATAATTACATTTTTAAACAAAGCTGAAAGAATGTAAAAATATTTTTAAGGGTAATAAGCTGGAATATTTGCCATTTCAGGCAGGGGTGACCTCTGACCTGCAGTTTGTTCCTGACGCTTTGTTTCAGTTTATTCTCTGTTTACATTTCATTAAAGTTTGTATTTTGAGACCAATAAAGTAAAACTTGCAGGTTTTTGTCTCATTGAGGACAGACGTTCATCCCCAGCGTGTTTTATTAACGACACACCAACAACATTTACAACCGTTTGACATCATGGAAGTGTCCGAGCAGGACGTCTGGGTCCCGCCTCCAGTTTTCCCAGAGTTCCCAGTGTCCGTCCTCCCGGAAACTGGAGGATGCTGACGTGGTTGTAGCTCAGTAGTCGTCATGGTAACCCTGCTCTAAGTGTTTTGGTAATGTTGCCGTGGCGGCGCGACCGTCGCCTCCAGGATCTGGATCCCCGACAGCGAGTGACGCTCCAAACATCCCAACAACAACAGCTGGGAACATCATCCATCTGTTGCCGCTTCATTCCTCAGAACCAGGAATGAGTCCAAACAGGTCGGATAAATCTCCCAAACAACCAGAACCAGAACCAGAACCAGAACTGATTGTAAAAACTGATGTGAACAAGGCGCTACATGGAGGAACCAGAACCGGTCGGGTTCTGGTCACAAAGAAGCTCCAGGAAACTAGAATCAATAATCTCAAGAAATCAAGTAGAGAGAAAATTAAACATAATAACACCTAAAAATAGGAGTTTTTATTTAAAACTGCTTAAATAAATCTAAAAAAATGCTTCCCTCTTTAATTTCATATCTTATTTTGTACCTTAATTAATTTCAGGCTGATATTAGAAATTGTTCAGTGGTGAAATAAAAGTTTCATTTTTAAGTTTAGCTAATGCGTTCAAAAATATGAATAGCTTGGCATTTAAAATTTTAATTACATTTTAAATTTGAACATTTTCCAAAATCAAAGTGCTGAAAATGCAAAGAATTGGCTGCTAGAGGTTCTGATCAGGTTCTGATCAGGTTCTGATCAGGTTCGGTTCCTGGAACCAGAAACTTTTACACCAATCAGTTTCATCATCATCACACCTTCACCTAGGCTCCGCCCCCTTCACACCTGCAGTCGTACCTGAACCAAACGCAGCAACAGCAGCTGCAGCAGCTGCAGCAACAGCTGCATCAACAGCAACAGCAGCAGCAGCAGCAGCAGGACAAGTCAGAGAAAACAGATGATGCTTCATTAATATCCATAATCCAGCGGAGAGACAAACAGCAGAACAGACCAGACTGAGCTGCAGATTTAAACTCAAATCTTCTTCCTCATGTTTTGGCTTGGAGATCCGTCCCCTTAAAGCCCCGCCCACTTCGAGCTGACAGAGGATTTAATCCGGGTCCGGTTACCAGAATCATCACATTTAATAACAGAAAGAAACTAAACTTCAGGTGAAGAAGTAAATACCTGAACCATCTTTGAGTTTAAAGCTGCAGTTCATTGATTCAGAAAAATATCCTTCAATTTCTTTTAAAAGCAGAAAAGTCTGAAAATTACAGAAGTAATTAAAGATTCAGAATATCTGATTTAAAAGTTGAGTGATGATTGGCTGATTATCAGAGCAGCTGATCAACATATGGTACCACCGAACAGCGCCCCCTGCTGAGGCTCCAGCAGAAAGGGAAGTAAACATATGATCCATCCAGAACCGACAGAACCGTCCCGGTTCCGGACGTCGAGCTCCGCAGCCATTTTTGGGATCCTGGAGGCGACTGACGGTTCCTCTCCGTCCCGACAGCGACGTCACGCTCCCTTCAGTCCAGCTGATCAGTGATGACATCAAAAAGGAGGCGGAGTCTCCTCATCCCCTGTCCCTTGCCTGGTGACTCCCTGCGAGCCAATCAGAGGAGGCAGGATCATCTGAAACCCGCCCGGATACGACACTGAGCGGAGGAAGCCCATTGGCTGCAGTCCGAGTCCAGTTTCAGTGTTTCAACGTCCTTCAGTGGTCGAGTCCAGACAGCAGAGAGAGAAAAGACCTGCAGGAAGAAAACAGCATTTCAGAACCAGAACCAGAACCAGAACCAGAACCGTCTGCTCTCCTGGTGGACTTCAGACACACAGAATAGTTCTGGTCTCATCATGACGACCTGCAGCATCTTCAGTTCACCTGCAGCCGCCGCATTACATCACGCATGAGATCAGGAAGCCATCTTGAATCCAAGGCGCTGTGACATCACAGAGGAAGAAGTGCTGTGATTGGCTAACCTCAGAGTCCCAGCAGTTCATTGGCTGTTTGATGTCAATAAAGTTTATTTAACGTGATAGAAAAAAGGTCTGCAGAGATAAAAGCTGAGATTTCCACTTGGTGGAACTTCAGGTTCTTTCTTTTCGCAGATCATTTCGCCGTTTGCTGCATGTTGGCACCTGTTGGCCTCCGTACCTCTGGAGCGCTTCCATCTTCAAACACACTCAACGTCCCCATGTTTGGTAAATGATGCTGCTCTTCCTGCTCTGATGGGAAACTTTTCATGTATTGATCAACCAAGATGGCCGCTTCACTTCAGAGCAGATGGTCTGACGACCCGCTGACACTTTCAGTTTGAGATGAAAGTGTCAGTGTCATGAGAGTTTATGGAATAACTTTACTCTTCAACAAGAAAATGTCTTTTCTGATGATTATTATTTTGCTTCATTTACTGAATGCAGGGTTAGGTTTACTGCTTGATGCCTCTGGCTTTTATGCATAGACAGAGGTGAGGAAGTGAAGGTCATGTTGAGGATTGTGACCTTCAGACAGCCTGAAGGTCACAATCAACTGATGAAGTTATTATGGTATGAGCCCCCCCTGGTGGTCAGTAGAAGGTCATACAGTCAGTGCCCAGCATCTGTTTCACTGCAACAGCAGCAGCAGCAGCAGCAGCAGCTGCAGCAACAGCAGCAGCAGCAGCAGCAGCAGCAACAGCAGCAGCAGCAACATTTCTGTTTCAACCCCTGAAAGGAAACAGGAAGTGCAGACGGGAACCAGAGCTCTGGGTCGGGTTCTACCTGTGGGTGGGCTCCAGGTGCGTCCCGGTCCGGCCCGGTTCCGGTGCTACGTTTGGGACCGGACTCCCGGCTGGCTGCTGGGCTCCCTGGCCTCCTTCCCGTCCAGCAGCGCCGCACTGATCTCCTCCTCCGGGTCGTAGTAGTAGAACTTCCTCAGGTAGGCGATGAGCGGCCTGGAGGACAGAGGGAA